CGCCCATCCCAGCCAGGGCTGGCTAAATGAGGGCAGGCGGCGGGGCGACATCGCCAGCGCGTCGCCAGCCCCCATGACTGACATCGCCAATATTTTGAGGAGAAATGGCCAATTTTCCTCAGGAACTTCACTCCATAGTGTTAAACAAGCGCCAGCTTGCTGGGGGCTTCGCCCCCAGTCCCCCAAAAGGGAGGCAAGTGCCGACAAAGCAACAGCGGCGCCGCATGTGGCCGCTGCGCTGTGCCAGGCGCAAGGGTGGCTCCCCCGCATTTCGCCAATCCTCAATGTGCCATCGCCAGCTGATTGGCGAAATTTGGACGCGACAGCAGTCCTCATCGCCCGCCCATCGCCAAAGCTGCCACGAGGGCCAGAAACACTGGTGCAAACGAACCCGCCCAGGCCAAACCAGGAGGCCCAGAGCGTCAGGGGACGAACCCATTGCTGATCAAGGCAGAAGATAAGCCGAGAAGGAGGAATTGGAGCTCAGGATGCCGCAGCGAGGAATACACCCGCTGCTGAACACGCTGCGGGTCGTCATGCGTAACGGGGCGAGCTTCCAAATAAAGACAGCAATGCGCCGCGTGAATCCATACATGCTGCAAGTGGTGAGAATAGGGTGGGGCCCGCACGCTGCCCTCCAGCGCGCTTGCTGGACGTGGTGTTGATCTCATCATACCTGCGCTGCATGTGGGACGTCCGGCGGGGGTGGCGCTGTGTGTGCAGGCTGCCTTGCCGCCACTGCCGCCGCCTGCCTACCCCCCCACCGCTGCTTCTGCGGCTCCCGTCCATCCTCTCATTGCCTGGCTGTGGCGGTGCCGCAGGACACCACCAACAATCCCATTTATACCGGAGAGTCTGCTGGGCTAAGTATGGAGGATGAACGCACCCAGGTGCGGCCTTGTTCCTCCTCTGTGCCCCAGCGTTTCGCACGATTGCAGTGCCGTGGCACATGCAAGGCATGCGGTCCGCACGTCTGGTCATCAGCCTCGCCTTTAAAAAGCTTGCTGCTGTATTGGTGCACTGCAGAAAGTGATGTCGCGGTACGAGGGATTCATGGCGGACACCGAAGGCGCCGATGCAGGCACTGGAGTCGGCGCCCCGCCCAGCAAGGGCAGCAGCAGCAGCGGCGGCGGCAACAAGAAGAAGAAGTGATGATTGTGTGTGTGTGAGGCTGGGGTCCAGCAGCCTTCTGTGCCGCTGCCTCCCTCCTTTTGTCTTCCCCTGCTCGTTTGTTGCTCTCGCTTTCTCGTTGCTGCTCCTTCTCGTTTGCTGCTCCTCTCCTCACTGTGTTTGCTTACAGCATTTGTGTCTGGCTGCCTGACCGGCAGCTCCCCTCCATTCTTCCCTTCGCTCTGCCATGATCTTCCACGCCTGTGGTGCAAAGCCGCACCAGGATCACCCACAGTGGCCTCTCTGGCTGCACGTTCTGTCAGCGCTCCACGGCAACCCTGCCGCCCTCAATCACCACCACTGCGGTTGTGGGAGAGGCGGTCGCAGGCAGGCCAGCGTGAGGGGGCGCGGCACCATGCACAATATCTGCAGCAGCAGCAGTAGCAGCAGCAGGGATGGAGCGCAGGCAGGGGCCCGCCGCCCTCACCCCTGTCGCAGCTGGCGATGGTGCTCTGCCTGTGAGCCACCTCGATGATTGTGCTGCCTGCCAGGTGGCGCCGGATCACCTACACAGCAGGTGGCGCAAGATCAGGAGAAACTCTTTCCATCCACCTGACCCATTGTTTGTCAATGCACGTTCCCGGGCAGCAGCAGGCGCTGTGGCGGCAGCAAGCAGGTATGTACAGGGCGCGCGCATTGCCATCTGCACACCACACCAAACTAAACGACACGCCACACACTGCTGACCTCATGCATAGTGTCGGCGGTGGCCGGGTCAACTGACGAGGTGGCCTCATCGAGCAGCAGCAGCCGCGGGTGGCGCAGCAGCACCCGCGCCAGCGCCAGCAGCTGCTGCTGCCCCTGCGACAGCGCCGCCGCGCCCTCGCCCAGCCGCAGCGCCAGCACTCGGCGCTGCAACGCCTCCGCCTCCGCTCCTTCTTGCTGCCGCTGCTGCTGCTGCTCCGCCTCATGGCCAGCGGCAGCAGGAGCGCTGCTGGGCGCCTCGCGCAGCTGCGCCAGCAGTGGCTGCCACAGCGCCACCTGGCGCAGCGCGGCCGCCAGCTCAGCGCCCGTGTGGCGCCCCAGCGGGTCCAGGTTCTGCGCCACGCTGCCATCAAACAGAAAAGGGTGCTGCGGCACAACGCCTGCGGCACGGGGGGGGGGCACAAAAGGCTGCTTGGTGCCGCACCTCTGGCCAGGCGCACGCAAGAAAGCCCAGGCAAGCCAAACCCAGCCCAAGCCAAGCCCAGCGCAGCCTGGCGCACCCACAGCCCGCCGCAGTTCAGCAGCCGGGAGGGAGGCCACGTCGCGGCCGTCGATGCACACCCTGCCGCCGGCGACGGGCGCCAGGCGCAGCAGCGCCGCCAGCAGGCTGCTCTTGCCGGCGCCGGTGCGGCCGCAGATGCCCACGTGGCTGCCTGCGGCACAGACGCCGCGAAACTGAGCACCTTTGAGGGCCCCGAGGTGCGACGCGGCAGCAAGCAGCTGGACTGAGCGGAAGCCTGGTTGACAGGCCAGCAGCCCGCGTCAAGCTGCAGCCAGCAGCGGGAGGAGCGGCGGCAGCATACAGCTGCCGGCGGGCTTGGAAGCGCATGCAGCCCACTGCGTCCCATCGGCTCGCCTGGCTGGATGTCGAGCGTCGCCCCTCGCAGCACCCAGGGCCCAGTCCCGCCGTCGGCAGCGGCCTCGCCGCCGGCTGGCTCGCCGGCACCGTCCCCAGTCCTGCTGCCCGGGCTGCTGCCGTGAGATGGAGCTGCAGCCGTGGCGGCTGCCGACCAGGGCTCATATCGCAGCCACACGTTTTCAAAACAAACGTGCCCGCTGTGCAGCCAGTCGTCTCTGCTCCCGTTCCCACTGCCGGCGCCGCCGGCGCCGCTACTGCGGGGGCTGCCCGGGGCGGGCAGCAGCGGCTGCTGCGCCTCAATGTCCGACCCAACAATGGTGGGTGCCTTTCGCGTGCCTGCTGCCGCTGTGCCATTGCCGGCATGCCCGCCTTCGCCTCGTGGCCGAACCTCCCCGCTGCTGCTGCCGGTACTGCTGGTACTGCTGGTACTGCCACCCAGCTTGAGGTACTGGAAAACGCGCTCCGCCGCCACCATCTCTTGCTCTGCGGCAGGCAGCCGGGCGGCATGGCAGCGCGGTGCATGGCGTTGTCAAGTACTAGGAGCAGAAGTGGTGACAGGCTGGGGTGGAGCACAGCTGAGGAAAGAGCGGCATCACTATCCTCCCAGCATGCCAGCATTGGGCAGCAAAGCTCAAGACGCGCGCCTCCACACGGCAGGCCGCGGCAGACCTGTCTCTGCTGAGGAGGTGAGTAGGCCGTTTAGCAGGCCTGTGATGGGAAGCACATACGACAGGCTCAGCCCCACCAGTCCTGCTGCCATGCTGCCGCGGGCGGCGCCGCTGCCGTAGCTGCTGCCGCCGCCGCCTCCTACCCCCACTGCCCCCGCCACCGGCAGCGCTGCCGCGGGGGTCGCCCAGGGCAGCGCGCCGGCGTGCTCCGCCACTGCGGCGCCGGCCACCGCGGCAGCCAGAGCGGCCGCCATGAGCTGCAGGCGCAGGCCCAGCCAGCTGCCCGCGGCGGCCGACGACACAGAGGCCCGCTGCTGTGCCGCCACCGCCGCCTCGGCGGCCGCTAGGAAGTGGGGCTGCGCGGCAAAGGCCCGCATGGTGGGCCCTCCGCTCAGCAGCTCTGCAGGACATCCGGGGGGCCATGCCAGGCAGGCAGCCCGTCAACGAAAGCAGCCTGTGGCTGAAGTGCACCTCTTCCCAACCACTCACAGTGCTCTGTGCCTGCTTTAACCGACCGCCCTGCACGGCCCCTGCCCCTCCTCCGCCACCACACAGACAGACACACACACCCTCCATGCCCCACCCGAGAAGGCGGTATAGACAGGCGACTTGGCCACAGCATCCAGGCGGCGCAGTTCGCGGCTGGTGGCGCGGTAGTACCGCTGCAGGCTGCGGTACAGCGCCGCCAGCGGCGGCAGCAGCGCCAGCACCAGCGGCTGCGGGCAAGCGGCGGGAGGCGCCATGGCGACAGAGGCAGGCAGGCGCGTCAGGCGCACGGGTGGCCCCTGGGGCGAGCGGCGACAACTTCGGCACGTCTCATGCAAGCAGGGCCCTGCCTTGGCCCCAGCCACCAGCGCCCGCCCTCGCCCCTGCGCCTTCCTGCTAGATGCTCGAGCGCTAGGCAGACGCCTGTCTCACCTGCGTGATACACAGCACCACCGCCACCCCCGCCAGGCTGGCGCAGTTAGCAAGCAGGATGTTGAGGATGAAGGGCAGGGAGTCGTCCACCGTGGCTGCAGGCCGCAGGGCGCAGGCAGGCGAGCGGGTGGGCTCGTTGGCGGGTAGCAGGCAGAGTTGTTCAGGAGGCCGAGGGCTCGGAAGGTAGGGGTCGGGCCCATGCCAGCTGCCATTCTTTCCTGCTGCCCTGCTTTCAAGGTGCGCACCCTTGCAGAGCTGGGGCGCCCCGGCAGCGAGACCCCACCTGTGTCTGATGAGAAGCGGTTGAGCACTCGGCCTGGTGGAGTGGCGTCGAAGAAAGCCAGCGGCAGGGCCAGCACCGCCGCCAGCAGCTGCTCGTGCACGCACTGCGGGAGGCGAGGGGGAGGGGGCAGCGGGCGGTGTGTGTGGGAGGCAGTGGGCGGTGGGTGTGGGAGGGAGTGGTGTGGTCTGAAGGTTGCGCATTACAGTTACAGTACACACACAGTTGCTGGGGGGAGGAGCAGGGGTAGTATGGGCACAGACAGACAGTAGCTCGGTTGGACGAGCCGCGGTGTGGGGGCATCAGTCTCCACCCACCTTGGCGGCCACCAGGCCCCCTTTGGCAAAGGAGAAGGCTCGGGCGAGGGTGATGGCTGAGTTGGCGGCGGCGATTGCCAGCAGTACAGTCAGGTAGTACCGGACCTGAGGGTCCAGGCAGCTGCTGCTGCTGCTGCTGCTTCCCGGGCTGCTGTCCAGGCTGCTGCTGCCGAGGCCACTGCTGGCCGGGGGACTCCCTCCCAGGCTGCTGCCGCCGCTGTGCATCGGCGTGCCAGAGGCAGGCAGGCTGGCACCGCCGCCGCTGCCGGCGGCGGGGCGGACGCTGCTGGGCACGCAGGTGGGTGGCGGCACTCCTGGCATGGAGGGCATTCCGCCAGCGCACCACAGGTATGGATGGGGCTCTGAAGTTTGGTTGGTGGGAGTGGCATGGGACACCCAGTGCGAGAGCCAGAGGTCGTTTCCGTTGCGGGTGGCCTGCAGGGGGGCCAGCGGCATGCGCTGCCATCAGCCGCTGCTATCGGCCGCTGCGCAGCCGCGGGTCCAGCAACAGCGGCAGCCACAGCAGGGGCGGGATGCAGGAAGAGGCGGCGGCGCCAGGGGCCTGCCTGCATGAGGAGCAGGGACAGGAGGATGACGGCGACCCAGCCCCAGCCCGTCGCCGCCGCATATCGCAGGTACACGTCCCAGCGCACGTGGCCCTGCTGTCGCTCCTCCTCCTGCTGCCCCTGCTCCTGCTCCTGCTGCTGCTGCTGCTGCACGCCGAGCGTGGCCCCAACCTGCTGCTCCTCGCCCTCTGCATCTTTGCCTGACATGCGGCTTGCCGCTTCCACCGCACCCTCACCGCCTGCTGCGGCTTGCGGGGCCTCTGGGCTGCGCTCGCTCTCGTCAGCTGCTGCTTCCTGCCGATGCAACGCCGCTGCCTCAGGCTGCACCCGCACCGCCGCCACCCTGCCGCCGCTCATTTCAACAACCATATCTGCCGCCGCCAGCAGGGCAGGCGTATGTGTGGCCACAACAACGGTAAGTGGCCGCCGCTGCTGGTGCTGCTGGTGCTGCTGCTGCTGCTCGCCCCACAGCAGCGGGCTCAGCAGTGCATGCCGCAGGATCCAGGCCGCCACGCCAGCATCCACCGCAGCCAGACAATCATCCAACAGCAGCACGTCAGCGCCGCGGTACAGCGCCCTGGCCAGCGCCAGCCTGGCTCGCTGCCCGCCGCTCAGCGTGGCGCCGCCGCCGCCCACTGCGCGGCAGCAGGGCATGCAGCAGAGGATGCGACTGTTTCACCACTTCCCCCGGGAGGCATAGCAGCAGAAAAAACAAAGCATGGCCAGGCCGTTGGGCGCAGCCCAGCAGATGTCGCAACTCGTCTAAGCCCTGCCGCCAGCCGGGGGCGCCCACCCACTCACCCGTAGTGAGGTCCCCAGCCGGCATGGCTTGGAGGTCTGGCAGCAGGGCGCAGGCGTGCAGTACAGCAGCGTACCGCTGCCTGTCGAGGGCCCGCCCCAGCAGCACATTGTCCCTGCAGGTGGTGAGGCATGTCGGCTAAGCAAGAGCATGTGTGAGGCAGCTTGCCACGGCACGGGGATCGCTGGTACACCAAGGAGGGCCCTGGCCCCACACATGCCACACAGAGTCCCCAGGAACACTAACCTCAGCGTCCCATGCATGATCCAAGGTTCCTGCGGCACATACGCCACGCTGGTGCCCGCCGCCACGAAGCCGCTCAGCGCAGCGATGAGGCCAGCGCCCTGGCTGCCTGGAGAGGCCGTGACACTACCATGCCGCTGCTGCTGCTGCTGCTGGCCAGAATCTGAAGGCAGCATCTCACCCAGCACCGCCGCCAGCAGGCTGCTCTTGCCGCTGCCCACGGGGCCGGTCAGGGCCACCAGGCTGCCAGCTGGCACAGCCAGCTCGACGTCGCGCAGCACGGCACCACCACCTCCTGCCTGCTGCTGCTGTACAACATGGTGCAGGGCCGGCTGCCAAGGCTGGCTCGCAGCCTCCAACCCTGCACCGCCGCTACCCCCGCCGCCGCGGCTGCTGCTAGTGCTGCTGCTGCCGCTGCCGCCCCAGGCAAAGCTCCCGGCAATGCAGATAGCAAGGGGCGTGCTCGCGTCTGCCGCACCGCCCGCCTGGGCTGTGCCGCTGCCGGTGAGCTTGGAACCATTCGCCGGCGGGGCGGCTGTGGGTCCGGCTGTTTCCGGGGCCCGAAGGAACTCTGACAAGCGGCGCACAGACACCACCGCCTCCACCACCCTGCAGCACACCAGCACGATGGAACGGTGTCGGTGCTGGTTAGGCCGTGGGCGTGGATTGAGTGCTAAAGGAGCCAGCCAGGCCAGAGGGAAGGCCCTGCCCCTCTGCCCCTCGCCCGTAGGCACACTGACGCACATGCTTCACCAGCTGCGCCACTGCAGGCCACCACCCATGCGCACACAGCAGCCCACCCATGCGCAGACAGGCGCCCAAGCCCACCCGTTGATGACCCAGGGGAAGGCGTTGATGGGGGCCAGCAGGACATTGAAGAGGGCGAGCGAGGTGAAGACGACTGGGGGGGTGAGCTGGCGCCCCATCAGCGCGTACAGCCCAAACGTGGCCAGGCTGAACAGCAGGCTGGTGGCGGCCCTGCAACAGCACCACCAGCGCGGCACTGGCGTCACACGTCAACCAGAGCGGAGGCTCCAGCGCTCGGCAGCCCGCACGCCCTCTGCAAGGGATGATACTCATCAACCCCTTCACTCCTAAAGGAAAGGAAAGGGGAAACTGCGTGGAAGAAGAAGGAACTCACCAGAAGTAGACGCAGAGGGCGTCGAGGTACTTGCGTACCGCCAGCGCCGCCAGCTCCTCGCGCCGCTCCCGCCGCACGCGCCGCCCAAATGCCGCCTCCCACGCGTAGCACTTGATCTGCCGGATACCCCGCAGGATCTCCAGCATGCAGCGCACGCGCCTGCACGCGTGGTGGGGACCAGCGCGGCGGCAGCTGGGTTGGCGTGCTGCGGGCGCGAGGGCGGCAGGCGCGAAGCTGTGCTCTGCGGTGGCGGCGCCCCTGAACTGGGCGCGTGCTACCCCGCGCTAGGCCCCGTTGCCCTACCGCTCCCACCTGTCCTTAGCCGCCATCATTTTCAGCGAGGCTGCCTGGATGCGGGTGGCCAGAGCTCGGTTGACCGGTATCAGCAGTACCACCAGGGCCAGCCCCGCCAGGAAGGCGTACTGAACCTGTACCGCAGAAAGGACCGGCCAGGAGCGGCGGGAGCATCGCAGAAGGGTGAGAATGGAGAGGCGAGAGCCAGAGAGGAGGGAGCCGGGATGGGCAAGACGAGGAGGCTGCCCGCCACGGCTTGCCTGCGTGTAGAGCAGCCAGAGGGCGACGCCGATCTGGGCGGGCAGGCTCCACAGCTCGTGGAAGCTGAGGCACAGATTGACCAGGCGGTCGGCATCCACAGACATGAGCGTCTGGAGGCAGGGAGGTGTGTGGGGAGGGGGGCAGACGGGTGGTCACAGGCCGGCAGCGGCAGCATCCAAACAAGGCCGCGTATCCCTCAGGCTCGGGCGCGCCGGCAAGGTGTGAGGCTCGCGAGCGCTCGCAAGCCACCGACCGAATGGCCCCAACACCCCACCCCTCCGCCGCGCACCCACATCCACACCAGGCCCCGCGCGCCGCCACCACCCCACCTTCACCCCCACCCCCACCACCCCCACCTGCACCCGCCCGCTGCTCGCGGCCGCCAGCGTGGCGGCGTTGACGGCCAGCGCCTTGCGAAAGACGGCGGCGGTGACCGCGGAGCGCAGCTGGGCGGCGATCAGGGACTGGCGGTAGCCGTAGTGGGCGCCCAGGAAGGCCTGCGGCAGGCGGGAGGAGGGGTGGGGCATGGTGGTGGTTGGTGGTGGCGGCGTGGCGAGCGGCATGGCATCTGGGCGCTGGGGCTTGGGGACCAGCCAAAGAGGTGGTAGCAGATGGCAGAATGAACAGCGCAAATAGAATGGGGGGCGCGGGCAGGGAGCTGCCGAGCAGCAGGCGTCCATGGCTGTGAAGCGGGGCACGGCGCCTCTGCTGGCCCCGCACCCAAGCACTCCGCTGGACCGCGCGCCTCCCTTCACCCCACCCACCTTTAGCAGCAGGCTGGCCGCCAGCAGAGCAGCGCAGGCATAGCCAAACAGCGGCGCCGCCACGTCCACCCGCCACCCCAGCAGGCTTGTCGTGCCGCCGCCGCCGCCGCCGCCACCGCCGCCGCCAGGCGCCGCCGCCAGGTGGCGCAGCAGCAGGTTGAGCAGCAGGGGCCCCGCAAAGTTGAGGGCATCCCCTGCCGCCTTGAGCAGCCCGAGAAGGAAGTAGGGCCAGCCATAGGTGGCCACGATGGCCCGCAGCAGCGACGGCTGCGGCGCCGCTGCGGGCCCTCCCTGGCGCCTGCCGACGCCGGCGCCAGAGCCCGCGTGTGCGGCGGCACGCTCCTGCTCCTGCACCGCCCAGGTGGCACACGGCAGCGCAACTTAATTGGATGTGGCAAACAGAGCTGCTGGAAGTGGGACCATGCCAGCTGTAGGATGGCTGGTCCCGGTTCTTTGCCAAGCCCGCCCGCACCTGCCTCCAGTGCCGCCACAGGCGGCGCCCGCAGGTGGATGGCTGCAAGTGGGCTGGCAGGGTGAAGAGGTCGCGCTGGTGCAGCTGCGCCTGGGTGCTGCCACGGCGCAGCAGCGGCGACACCCAGCTGAAGGCCAGGAAGGACAGCCAGCTGGAGGAGCCCAGGGCGCCGGGCCCAGCGCTGCTGCCGTTCCCGACTGGCGGCTGGCCAGGCGCGGCGGCGGCACCGGGCGAGCCGGTCGTCGCCCCGGTCGTCGCCCCGGTCGTCGCCCCGGCCCGCTCTGCTGCCTGCGCCTGCTCCCTGGATTCGGAGCTGGCAACCAATAGAGGCTCCCTCTCCTCGCTGGTCGCCATCAGAGTGTCGAAGGCCTTGGTTTGGAGACGCAAGGCAGGGCTGGCCCTCGCAAACACATGGCTCACCTAGGCAAGCTTGGCACGATCGCCACCGATCGGTGCACAGTTAGCATGCTGCCGCCCCAGCGGGCTGGCGCCGCCGCCGCAAACACAGCAGCATTGCCAGCCACTGCGTGCCTGGTCTTCATGCCGGAACCGATCTGATGAGGCACTGGACTGCCTGGTGAATAGCGGTTGGCTAGACAGGCGCTGAGGCATACGCCCGAGACTGGGGGCGAGGAAGGTGGGGGGACGGGGCTGCTTCCGGCAGGCAGAGCGTTGCCAGCCTGGCTCTCCTGCCAGTCTCCTGCCGGGGATCGGAATCGCATGCCCACAGCTCGCTGGTGTCATGGCACAGTCAGCAGCTCATGGGCATTGGTGCCGCCCGCGACAGTAGCTTGCCCTTGCAAGGGCGCCGGCGCAAGTGCCGCAGATGTTGCCAACAAAAGAGATGCCATGCTCTAGCAACCCCAGCCGCTTTTCCTACTATGCTGCAGACAGCCACAAACATCTAACGCCCGGATTAGCTTTCCGTGGCACGCGGTTGTCCGACAGCACCCGCCAGCTCGGCCGGGGGGGGGGGGGGGCATGTCGCATTTCGCCGTCGACCGGCACAATCGAGCTTTCACCAGTCGGAGGGACTGCATGGAGGCGCCCGGATGGCTGTTGGAGTGGCCCACAAAGTAAGCCGTGGCTTCGTCGACGCTGAAAGCGGGAGACCGCTGCTGTTCAACGCAAGTTCATCCACGAGTTCCAGCTCGTTGGATACACGCGACGGCAGCCCCAAGGCCGTCATGGCCGGCGGCAAAGGCTGGGGGCAGCCCGGGCTGCCAGCCGCTTTCATTCTAGGAGCGCTGCTCACGCTGTGCGTCGTCTTCCTGACTGGCGGCAGCCTAGGGATGCGATGGCAAGGAGGTGAGCACCCAACCACCAGGCTCACCTGCCGCCGCAAGTTGCCGCCGCCGCTACTTTGTTGCGCAGCCAGCTCGTGTGCGTCTCCCTGCACGCGTGCTGGCTCATTCATATGCCTGCCTGGTGCAGCCCCAGGACTGCGGACTGGTCCTTTAGAGCGGAAGTTTGGGCTGCAAGATGCGGCGCAGGTGGGTGGCACCAAAGGTTGCGGTACAGCAGGGCTTCCCTTGCCAGGGGGAGGGAGCAAGCTGGGCCGTCAGGGCTGTGATGCAGACCATGTGCTGCCTTGCAGGGCGGCGAGGCCTCGCTTGCAGCAGCAGCAGCAGCAGCAGCAGCCATTAGCAATGCCACGCTGCAGTGTCCTGAGCCGGAGCCTGTGACCTGCCCCGATGCCGTGGCCTGCCCAGAGCCGGAGGAACAGCAGCCGTGCCCAGCCTGTAAAGCCTGCCCACCGCCCGTGCTGGCGCCGGCACCGGCGCGCTGCCCGGTATGCCCAGAGCCCGAGCCGGAGAAGTGCCCTAAGACGGAGAAGTGCCCTGAGCCGGAGCCTTGCCCGGCGTTGCCCGAGAAGCAGCCGGGGGCGCCAGAGGACGGCGGGCAGCAGCAGCAGCAGCAGGGCAAGCAGCAGCAGGCGGCGGGCACGCAGGCGGGCGCCGCGCCGCACCTGCGCATGCCCTGGGACCCGCTGCTGACGGCCAGCGAGGTGCAGCGCGGGCTGGGCTACTACGGCAGCGGCAGGCGGCTGGAGGAGGTGGTGGCCAAGCTGATGCGTGGGGAGCCCATCAGGGCATACACGCTGGGCGGCAGCGTTACAAAGGGCTCGGGATCCTCCGAGGACGAGCTTGCCTACCCGGGCCGCTTCTTCGAGTTCCTCAACAAGACCTTCCCGCACAAGTGAGGCCCAGGGGGCGGCAGGCAGGGGGCAGGCGTGCTGCTGCCCTGGCGGGAGCCGTCGCCACGTGCCGTCGGCGCTGGGACCGCGTGGCGCGCGCCGCGCTCGCACGCATGCGTGGGCTGCTGCTGCACCGCTCTGGCTGTTTGCCGCGGCTGGCGGCGCCTAGCTGGCATCGCGTCGCTGGCCCGACCGCCCTGTGCTGCCGCTGCCGCCACTGCCTGCTGCTGCAGGGACCATGTGTTTGTGAACAAGGGGGTGGGCGCCACCAGCTCCGGCATCTTTGCGGCCTGCATCGAGCACATGCTGCCTGACGTGAGCAGCGAGGCTGGCTGCCGCCGCCACGGGGCGGGCACCTCCCTCTCCACATACAGCCACCTCTGTCTCGTGCCATGCCGTTCTCAACCACCCCTCGCTCCCGACTGCCCCTGCCCCTGCCCCCGCCAGCTTTCGCCTGCCTTCTCACCGTGCCCTGCCCTGCCCCTGTCCTGCTCCCACTTACTGCAACTACTTACAGGGAGCTGACCTGGTGGTGCTGGAGTTCACAATGAACGAGAATGCGGACGTGCCGTTCACCGAGCCGCAGCGCCGCGGCTACGAGCAGCTCCTGCGCAAGCTGCTGCGCATGCCGGGCCCGCCCGCGCTGCTGCAGCTGCACCACTACGCCTGGTGGCGCGCCGCGGAGGACGGCGTGGATGGCGGCCTGTTCTATTACCCCATGGCGGAGGCGCACCTGTATGTGATGTCGCAGGTGGGCGCTGGGCACGGCGCGCTGCCTGCGCTGGGCACGCTGCGCTGCCTGAGCTGGGCACGGCGTGTGCGCGCCGGGGACGCTGCATGCGCTGCCTGTGCTGGGCACTATATGCACGCGCTGTGTGGGCAGCGGGGCCCGCCGCGTGCGACCTACCCTGAGGTAGCGCTCGCCCTCCCGCTGCCGCTCTTATCATTCTGCTTTGCTGTGGCATGGTCTGCCCCCCCTTTGCTCCTCCCGCCGCAGTATTACGACATCCCCTCAGTCTCCCTGCGCTCCGCCACCTGGCACCTCATGCACAACCGCATCGAGCGCTTTGACGTGAGCCGCGCGCTGCTGGCAGCGTCCGGCCTGCCACCGCCGCTTTGGCCCCGATCCCCGTAGCGCCTGCCTGGCACCGCACCCGTGCCGCTCCTGCTGCTGCTGCTGTTGCTGCTGCCCCTGTCGCAACTCGCCCCTAACACCTCGCCTCCCTCGCCGCCTGCACAGGTGGACAAGGCGACGGCGCGGCACAAGCGGCACATCGGGCCCACTGGCCACGAGATCCCGCACTCCACAGCGAAGAAGAAGTGGAAGTACTTTTATTATGACAGGTCAGGTCAGCGCAGCACAGCACAGCACAGCACAGCACAGCATGACGCAGCGCAGCGCCCCATAGGACAGCACTTTGTACCACAGCGTATCACGGCACAGCAGCGCTTCTTGTCATAAGACGGCGCTCCTCGGCACGGCGGTCTGCCCAGCTGGTGCTGGCGTCGCAGCCCCCGTCCTGCGTTGCCAGCCCCGTACATCCCCAGCCCGCCAGCCAATCCACACAACCGATGGACCCAACGACCGCACCCTCCCAATTCCACCCGCAGGACGCACCCCAACGACAAGGGTCACCAGGTCCTGGCAGAGCTGCTGGCAGGCGCGGTGCTGCAGGCGGCGGAGCGCGTGCAGGCGGGCGGCGGCGTGGCCGCGGCGGCCGCGGCAGCGGGCTGGCTGCCGGAGCGGCGGGCGGCGGCGCTGGAGGAGCTGCCGCCGCCGATGATCCCGCACAATGAGGACGCGCCCAGCACACTGTGCGCCATGCAGGTGGGCTGTGTGTGTGTGTGTTCGTGCGGTGGAGCTGGGATGTGGGGTTGGGGGGACTGAGGACCAGGCGCCGCCACGGCATGCCCACCCCTTCCTCGCATGCTTGGCACGCCAGGCCGCGCACACCAGCATGCTCATATTCCGCACATCACCATCACAAAAAATAATCATCTACCATGTCTGCCACTGCCACCTCCGCTGCCCCGCCCCAGAATCCACCACCAGCCGCCTCCCTGGCTGCTTTCTTTCTTTCTTTCTTTGGTGTGAGCAGGAGGAGTTCAAGGCCATTGTGGTGGACCACAGCAAGGGCTTTGAGTACACCCCCGAGCGTCCCGAGGAGAAGACGTTTGTGGGGCAGAAGTGGGGCTGGACGGCGAGCAAGCCAGGTGCCGGCGCATGCGCCGCCGCTGCACGCCGCCCGTCGGGCCTGGCCCGCAACCGCCGCCGCCTTGCCAGCCTTGCTGCCCCGCGGCGGCTTCTCCTGGGACGTCCCCTGACTCTTTCTTCCCTGACTCGTCCCCTCCCCTCCCTCCCCTTCCCTCCTCGCCTCCCCCTGCCTGCCCCTTCCCCTGCCTGCCCCGCAGGCGCCTGGGCCGAGCTGGAGTTTGACTCTCGCCCTGACGCCAGCTCAGAGGGCGGCAACTACGCCATCGTCCACCTCACCTACCTCAGGTGTGCGGGCTGGGCCCCCGGCCTTGCACCCTGGCCTTGCACCCTGGCCTTCCACCCCCCCCTCCTTTGGAGGCCGCCAGCAGGCCGCCTTCTATCATTCCATTCCCCATCCAGGCCTTGTTAATTCATGCGGTCATCCATCCATCCACGCATGCATCAACCCAGTCTTTGAATCACCATGTTTGTTTCGCCGTCTTGCTTGCTTTCTTGGTTTCCTTCTTTCCACCCCCAGGTCGTACGAGGGCATGGGCACCGCCCGCATCACATGCGTGTCTGGGTGCAAGTGCGAGGCGACTGACATCGACGGCACCTGGGAGCAGCAGGCCACGCTCATGCAGAACAACAAGTTCAAGGTGGGGCCCGGCTGCGTGGCTGCGTGGTGTGGTACACGCGGTTTGGGTGTGTGGTGTGGTACACACGGTGTGGGTGTCTGGCGTGGTGCGGCTGCAGCTGGCACGGCTGCGGTTTGTGTGTTGCGCTGGATCTGTGTGGCGGTGATCGGTATGGCAGGGTTGGGAGGCGGGAACGTGGGGCCTGCCAGCCTGGTTGTGCCGCCTGCTGCGCTGTGCTGCGGAGCTTCTGTGCTGCGCCCCCGGGCCACCGTCCTTGCCAGCATAGCCGGGGTGGCTGCCCTCGTGCCGCGGCATGCCGACCTTCCTGCTTGGCTGCCTGCCTGGCTCCCTGCTGCAGGTGTCTCCCAGCTCGCACTGCCGCCTGCGGGTGACCGTGCGGGAGGAGCCTGGGGAGGTGCCCCAGGAGGGGCACAAGGTCAAGCTGATGGGCATTATGGCCAGGTGGGCGCCTGCTGCAGCTGGGTGGTTGGTGCTCTTAATGCAGAAGGGTGGGCCAGCTGGGCGTGCCAGCAGCCACAGCCGGTGCTGCCCCGCCCCGTGCTCGGGCTTTGCCACTCCCAAGCAGGCTCACCACCCTCTGCATGCTGCCGGCCTGCTCCCCGCAGTCACTTCCCACTGAGGCTGGACCAGAAGGAGGACCCGACTGAGGTGGTGGCCAGCAAAGTGGAGGTTGCAGACTGATTGATGACGGGCCTGTGGTCATGATACAACGCCAGCAGCCTAAGCACATCATGCACCGTGCATCCCACTTCGCAAGGCACTTGATCCTGCAAAGTGTGCATGATCCTCGTGCTCCCTTGTTTATGTGTCCATTCTTCTCCTATTGCATTCATCCATCTGCGCTGTGCCCTGCATTGCCACATGAATGTCGGCAGCCGCACACATCACCTTCTGTAATCGCACGGCCCGTGCAGCAGGCCCCGCCAAGCGCCCTCCTGGTCTGCAACAGCTGCTGCTCGCCAAAAAAACTGATTGGACGTTGCTATAGGTGATGCAGAAGGTATGGACAGGATTGTCAAATGCTGAAGAATCGCAAACGAATGCGGCGGTGCGCCATGAGTGGCAGGACATGCATGCATTGCAGCCCGCCAGAGAGGAGCCAAGCAGCTGGCAGGGCGGCAGTGACAAAACTCAGGGAATGGGGCAGTGTAGAGAGAGCCGGCTTGCAAACAGTGGGATCACATGGGTCGTGTGGTCACGGAAAGAGGTAGGCGGGTAGCTAGGCTGGCTGTGTGGTCAGGAAAGGAAGTAGATGGGCAGCTGAGCCGGAAGGACGTGGCGCGGATGCACTGCGGCTGCCCCGCGCCCGGCCTCGCCAGCACAGCCGCTGCTCGCGAGCTTGCGCACGCTACAGCCTGCACCCCGGCCGTGACGCATGGGCGGAGCCTCAGGCGGCGGCCTCCTGCAGCTGCAGCGAGCCGTCCAGGGCGTCCAGCCTCTGCATGTCGGCATCTGTTAGGTCAAAGGAGAAGAGGTCCAGGTTGGCCTCCATGCGGTTGACCTTGGTGGTGCGCGGCACCACGGCCTGCGGGTGGGTGGTCGCGTGGGGGACGGGGGCGGGGCATGCGAGCAGGGTGGTCGTTGGGATGCGGAGCGAGGTGCTGAGCGAGGGCAAGGACGACTCCTTGGGTGGGAGCGCCTCGGGTGGGAGCGCCGGGGAGTGAGGCAAGCAGGGCAACATGACGCAAAACGAGGCAACACGAGGCAACACGAGGCGGGCAGGGCCGGAATGCGGCCGACGCGCAGCCTCCTTTGCTCCACTGCCGCCGCCACCGCCGCTGCCGCCTCACCTGGCCGTGCTGCAGCGCCCAGCGCAGCACCACCTGCGCCGTTGTCTTGCCAAGGCGCACCGCGATGTCGTACACAACGGGGTGCTCCAGCACAGGGTTCTGGCCCTGCAGCCGGCGCGGGGCAGCGGCAGCAGGGGTGGCAGCTCAGGGCGCTCACAGGCGTCCACAGCAGCCACGGCAGCAGTAGATAGGCGCAGCGGCGGGGGCAGCGGTGCCGCGGCAGCGAGAGCTGAGCGCGGCGTGCCTCGCGCCAGGCACCGTGCCCCGCCACCCCAACCCCGTGCCCGCGCCAAGCGACCGCGACCGCCCCGCCCAGGCCCAGCCCTGCCCACCTGCGTCGCCACCAGCCACTGCCCCCCCAGGGAGGAGTATGCCTGGAACTGGATGCCGTGGTTGCGGCAGAAGGCCTGCAGCTCCCACTCCTGGCGCAGCAGGTCTGCAGGGGCAGGGTAGGCGGGCACCCGGCAGGAGGCAGGGTGGAGGCTGCGCTGTGCTGGTGACAGCCCGGGCGTGGCCGGGGGAGGCCAGCCCTTGCCAGGTTACGTCCCAGCACATGCCAGCCCGACCCATGTCCCAGCCCAGACCAGACCGGCCAGCCCACCGCACCCCAGCCCAAGCCAGCCGCAGCAGGAGCCCGAGCCGAGCGCCGCCAGCCGCACCCGAGTTGCTCTGCAGCACGGCGGGCTTGATGCGGGCGATGCGGATCAGCTCCGCCATCTGGTCAAGGTTGAAGTTGGAGACCCCCGCCGCCCGCAGCTTCTTCTCCGACACCAGCTGCTCCAGGGCGGCCCAGCTGCAAGCACGGGGCCAGTGGGAGGGGCAGCGTCGAGAAGCGCGCGCGTGAGGGCACGGCATGTGCAGGTGGCGCATCGCGAGAGCATGCTGGGGGCGGAGGAGGCACAGCCGCGGTCAGGGTGGTGATAGCTAAGCCAGCCGTTGCGCCGCACCTGTCCTGCCACGTCCCCTCTATCTTGGCATCCCCACACAGGCCGCCCCAGCACCTGCGGGCAAAACGAAGCGCGACGGCTGCCGGTCGGCGGCGGCGCGGAACGCACCCTGCGCCGCTGCTTGCAAGGCAGGCCTGCTGCAAGGCGCATCCCAGGCACGCCTGCCGCCTATTCGCAGCACCAGAGGGAGCGGCCCTCACTCTGGGTAGTGCAGCAGCATCAGGTCCACGTAGTCGGTCTGCAGGTCCTGAAGGGCCTCGTTGAAGACCTGGGGAGATGGAGGGAGGGAGGCAGGGAGGGAGGGAGCAAATGGTGAGGGAGGGAGCAGGGGAAGGGGCGCATGTGCGACAGGCAGCAGAAGGGCGCCCCGCCTGCTTTGCACATGCGGCGTGGCAGCAGCCGCTGCGGGGCGGGGCGGGGCCGTATAGTCTCCTTGGCATGCAGCAGCGGCGTGCCAGCGCCGGCCTGAGGGCCCACCTCCAGAGTGCTCCAGTAGCCCAGGTGGCGGGGGTGGATCTTGGAGGTGATGAACAGGTGCTCCCGCTTGATGCCGCTGCGGGAAAGAACACAAGAGCGAGGCAGGTGGAGGCGAGACGCCGGTGTGTGCGTGTGGGGTGTGCGTGCACGTGCTTGCTGTTGGTGGTGGGCAGGGCAGGGCAGGGCAGCAAGAGGCTCTGGCCCGGAGGCTCACCTGGCCGACCAGCCCCAGCCCACCAGGTCTTCCCGGTACCATTCCCGTGCCTGCAGTTCCAGGCAGGCAGTGGCAAGGCAGGCACCTCGTCAGCGCCACCAGGCCAGCGTGCTAGTGGCATTGTGGGTGCCATTACCTGCATTACTACAGTACAACACGAGAGCACGCAAGCAGTGCCACCAGAGTGCAGGCAGGCAGGCAGGTTTGAACACATGCCCAGGCGCATCCGCTAGCCCTCCGGCCCTGCGCTCACCCCTGCGCTGTCCACCAGGCGGTATCCCACTCTGATGGCGGTGAACACGGCATCTGCGGTGATGTCGGTGAGGCCGGCGGTACCGTACCCTACCATGGGCATCATCACGCCCGGTACCAACTGGGCCTGCAGGCGGGCGGGGCAGGCGGCGGCGCAGCATGTGATGAAGGGTGCAGGGCGCACAGGCAGCAGCAGGCAGTGAGGTGCCCGGGCTGGGCTGGCTTGATACACAACAGACGGTTGGGTACACGTGCTGCTGGCAGCTGCCTGAGGCAGCTGGCTTGGCCTGGCTGTGCCATGCTGGGCCCGGGCTGGCCGCCCTCCCCACCCCAGCTGCGGCGCTTGCAGCCGGCGACTCCCTGCTCACCACTTGGGGCACCTCTGCTCCGTGCAGGTACTTGAGGGTGCAGATCCCGCAGGAGGCGGGACAGTTGATGTACATAAAGCCTGCAGGGAGCGGGCATGGGTGCCAGGCATACAGGATGAGCGACAGGCGGGGCCGCGGGTCGCCAGGAGAGCGGAGACGGCAGCCGTGGGCCGGCACGCATCGCAGGGCGGCAGCGGCACCCGGCACCGGGCGGCCGGCTGGGGCGCAGCCTCCGCGTGGCCGCACCCGGGTTGCGTTCGCAGCCGTCATCGGCGCTCCACTGCTTGCACTGCGCCGCCGACTGCCGGTCGGCGCAGTTGGGGCGGGACACCAGCGTGCCCTTGCCCTGGGGGAGCAGGTTGGGCCAGTGGCCGTTGAGCGGCTCCGGAAGCACAGCGTCCTCCGCCGCCACGCGAGGCCGCTGCTGCGCCTGCTGCCCAGACTTCTGCTGCCCCGGCGCTTGCTGCGTCCCAGCCTTCTGCTGCCCCGACGGCTGCTGGCTCGCCTTCGCCTGCCCCGCCTGCTGCTGCTGGCTGGCGTTTGCCTGCCCTGCCTGCTGCTGGCCAGCCTTTGCCTGCCCTGCCTGCTGCTGCCCGGCCTGGCCCAGGCGCTGCTGTCCAGCCTGCTGCTGCTGCGCTGCCTGTTGGCCAGAGCCCAGCTGCACCTGCCGCTGCTTCAGCTCTTCATCCCGCTGCTGCTTTGCCCGCAGCTGCTGCTGCTGGTCGAAATGGTGCTCCTCAGCCTGCTGCTGCTGCTGCTGCCCATCCTTCTTCTGGTTGCGCGCCCATTCCTCACGCCCTGTAGCATGGCGGATGCCGGCGCCGGTTGGGGCGTCGTCGGTGACGCTGCCAGTGCCAGCGCCGCCGGCACCGCCGCCTCTGCTGGTGCCAAAGGCTTTGCCGTCAGTGGCGGCGGTGCCCTCGCCGCGGCTGCTGCCCTTGTCGTTGCCGCGGATGATTGCGCCCTGCAGCTCCGATCCTTGCTTGTCGTGCGTCAGCGACGGCGCCTCTGCAGAGAGGCAGCCGGCACGGCGTGACGCTGGGAAAAACACAGCCATCAAAGAGAGGCAGGCAATTCCCGGGCCCAAGACAGAGGCCGAGGCAAGGCACCCCGTCCTCTGCCCTTGCCTTTCTGGTTGTGAATCAGTGTCCTCCGCGACGGGGGAGCATCCTGGCCCTCCTGAGCCTGCTGCTTCGAGGGCAGGCTGCGGCGGGCGGCACCGCGGGCGCTGCCGCCGCCGGCGCTGCCACCGCCGGTCCTGCGCGTCTTGAACTCCCCCAGGTTGCTCTCGGGCAGGCTGTGGAAGAAGGCGAAGACCACCAGGGTGGGCGCTATGAGCACGACCAGCACAGCGACCAGGGTGTAGCTGAGGACCCGTCCCTTGCCGCCGCGCTTCTGCTGTGGCAAGGGCGGCATTGCTGGGTGATCGGCGAGTAGTGCCGGGGGGCAGCGGCTTGCTAGGCAAACATGGTGTAGATGCGATGCGGATGGGCCAATCTGGTGCAGTGGGGACCGGCGTTGCTGTGTCCAGCTGGATGGAGTTCTGGCAACAGTCTGCAGGCATCGATGGCTACAAGATGATCTCCCGGCACAGCCGCTGAGCTGGCGGTCGGCGTGGCATCTCCTGAATGCTTTCAAGCCTCCTGCGCGGAATGCTTCAAGAAGCGCTGCAGGGCACAGCGAGGGTGTTCCTCACTGCGTTTTTCCACCGCAACCAGGGTTCCCACTCTCCCGCCCCTCCCCCCGCCCGGGATGGACTGGTGGCGGCAGCAGATTGGAGCGTGCTTGGACTCGGTGGCCACGCAGCTGCCGCAGCTGCAGACCTCGCTGTCCCAGCTGGGGTGCGGCCCGCCCGCCTACCGCTCATCTCCCGCCTCTGCCCCGCTCCTCCCGTATCAAGCCGCCCGCTGCCGCCGTGCTCGCCCGGCCCACTGCTGCGCTGCCCTGCCGCATGCACGCTGCAGGCACAGCATGGGCGAGTGGGTGGGCCACCTGGGCGCGGGCGGCGGCGCGGCAGGCGCGTCTGCCATCGGCCAGGAGTACGAGCTGGGCGCCCGCCGCCTGCGGGTGGTGCGCCAGCTGGGCGAGGGAGGCTACTCCTTTGTCTACCTGGTTCGGGAGGTGCAGGCAAGTGGGGCGGCTGCAGAGGCGGCACCAGCCTGTCGTGCTGCGACGTCGTGACAAAGCGCCAGGGCGGCCCGGCGCCAGGCGTGCACAGATCTGCGTGCCGGCCCAGGCATGCCCCAAGCCCGTGGTGTGCAGGGCGCGGGCAGCGGCGGGCTGCTGGCGGCGCCAGCGGGCACAGGTCTGTTCGCGCTCAAGCGGGTGAGCTCCCACACAGCCGCGCCGTGCCTGCTGCCGACGGTGTTGGCTGCTTCCCGGCGCCATCCACCCTCCAGTTGCCTGCCGCCGACCGCGGCCAGTGGGCTGCCCTGGCATTGGCTGGGCTGCTGCCTGCTGCTGCGCCCTCCGCCTGCTGCCTGCACCCTCTCAACACCCGTCGGCGGCGTGCCGGGTGTGGCGGCAGCAGGCAGCCGCGATGCTGTGCGCCCACCCGATCCATGTTCCACCCGATCCATGTTCCACCTTTCCACCCCAGGTGCTGTGTGGCGGCCCAGACCAGCTGTCGGAGGCGCAGCATGAGGTGGCGACCATGCGGCGCCTGCGCCACCCCTGCCTGCTGCCGCTGCTGGACGCGGCGGTGCGCGAGCAGCGCACGCCCGACGGCGGCAGCCGCCAGGTGGTGCTCATGCTGTTCCCAGGTGTGCGACGCTGCTGAGGCAGCCGGTGGAGGCAGCGCAAGGGAAGCGAGCCCTCGGCAACCACCGCTCGCCCTGCCGCTCCCCTTGCCGCCACCCACTGCCTGCCGCGCCGCACCTCTACTGCTTGTGCCGTCGCAGTGTACGCCCAGGGAAACCTGTTCGATTTCATCCAGGAGCAGCGCCAGCAGTGGCAGCGGCTGGCGGCGGGCCCGGCGAGGGCCGCGCTGCGCCGGCAGCAGCTGCGGGAAGTGCTGCAGCTGTTCCTGCAGGTGTGCGCCGCGCTGCACAGCATGCACAGCATGGAGCCGCCGCTCGCGCACCGAGATGTCAAGCCCCAGAATGTGCTGCTGAGGCTGCGGCAGGAGCCCGACGGTGGCGGCAGCGGCGGCGGCGGGGCTGGGTCGGCAGCCCCGCAGCAGCAGCAGCAACAGCCCCGGCAGGGCGAGCGACAGCAGTGGGAGGCTGGGGAGTGGGGCGGGGGTGGCAGCGGCGGTGATGCGCCAGGCAGCGCGGTGGTGGCGGTGGAGGAGGAGGGGCAGCAGGCGCAGGCGCGGTGGTGGCAGCGGCGGCTGGCGGCGTGGCGGGAGCGGTACGAGGCGGTGCTGATGGATTTTGGCAGTACACGTACCGCACGTGTGGTCGTGCGCAACCGGTCCGAGGCGATGTCAGTACAGGAGGATGCTGAGGTGAGGCGAGGCAGCAGGGCCTTAGCTTGGCTGGCTCGTGCCGCCAGCTGTATGGCGCCGGCACATGTGCCGAGCCATGAAGCATGTGTGTGCGTTTTTGCTTGCTTGCTGTGGGCCTGACGCCCACCTGCCTGGGCGGCACCACTGCCCCGCGATGTGCAGCGCCAGTGTACCGCACCGTACCGCGCCTCTGAGCTCTGGGACGTCCCTTCCTTCTGCGCCATCGGTGAGCGAGGCTGCGGGCCAGGCGTGTGTGGCCTGCGGACGGGGCCGCAGGCAGGCGGCGGCAGCAGCAGCTGTTGCGGGGCAACAGTTCCTGCCAATTGTGCACCCTGACTCTCCCCACTAACTGGGCTGGGCTGCCCTGTGCTGCTGGCGCGCAGACGAGCGGGTGGATGTGTGGTCGCTGGGGTGCCTCCTGTACTTCCTGGTGTGCGGGCAGAGCCCCTTTGAGCGCGCGGCGGGCGAGGCGGGCGGCAGCCTGATGCTGGCGGTAGTCAAGTGAGCATGCGCAGCCAGCGCACTTGCCAGCCACCCAGCTGCGCCCAGCCTCTCGGTCCCCGCCGAGCCTCCCCGGGCTGCCCTGCTGGCAGGATGGATCGGCGAGGCGCCGCGTGCTGCGCTCGCACATGCACACGAGGTTCACTGCGCGCCGCCCTGGCCCCCTCCTCCTCCTGCCGCTGCAGCGGGCGGCTGAGCTGGCCGGACGACGCGGCATCCAGCTGCCCCGCGGGCATCAAGCAGCTGGCGGCCGCCTGCCTCGACACCGACCCCGCCACCCGGCCCGCAGTCGCCGAGGTGGCGGCGCAGGCGGACGCCATCCTGGCCTCCCTGCCAACCTGATGGAGGCATCCCAGTGTGCAGCCACCGGGCCGGCCTGCCTCCAGCGCTCTGCACCTGAGGCTGGGGCTCCTGTCCGCTTCGCTGGATTCACTTCTTGGGGGTCCCTGCCCAGCTGGCCCTGTTCCTCCTTCACTTATGCACTCCACTTGTTCAGCACTGCCAGATCGAACGAAATGAACATTTCAACACAATCGCCGACCAGTTTATTATAACGCAATCACCAACAGAGGCTCTCATGATGCGCGTTCACACGGAGGAGGGTCGGGTGTGCGGCACCAGCGGCACCCGCTCCCCGCCGCCCCGATCCTCGTCCTCGTCCTCCTCCTCCACCACCACCACCTCCCCCGCTGCGGCGCCGCCGCCGAGGCGTCCGCCCTCTGCCAGCTCCAGCTGCAGCTGCTGCCCCTGGTCCCTGGGTACCGGCAGATACCCCGCAGACGCCTCCAGCCGCAGCCTGCTGTCTTTTGCCTTGAGCCCGGGGTGCGGGCTGCCGGCTGGCAGCAGGCTGCCGTCCCCTCCTCCGCCGTCGCCGCCGCCTCCAGGGCCCTGCCGCCTCTCTGCCAGGATGACGACGAGGCTGCTGCTGCACACCAGGGCGGCGCCCAGCAGGCCCAGGCCCGAGGGAGGGTGGTTGTAGACCAGCAAGTCCCCCAGTAAACCCCAGATCACTGCAGCAGCACACGTGCGGGGGTGGGGTGGGGGGTGGGGGGGTGGGGGGCTTGCTGGGCAGGCCGATAGACGTGCGGGCGTGAGCAGCCGCGCTTGAGCAAAAGCCAGGAGGCAAGCGGCGAGTGCACGCGAGACCGCTGCAGCTGCCCTGCCTGGCGGCATCAGCCGGGCAAGACAGTGGCAGGAAAGAAAGAGGCCACCACCACCACCCTGCCCACCTCCCAGGAAGCTCATCATCGTCGTGGGTGTGGCCTTGCTGAGCTTCAGGGCCCAGGTGGCGGTGGTCTGCACGCAACAGGCCAGCAGCCCCGCCGCCGCCAGCGCGCCCCAGGCGGCCGCCGAGCGCGGCGCCACCAGCGCCTGGCCGGGCACCAGGCAGGCCAGCGCGGCGCTGCCAGCCACCGACAGCGCGGCCATGCTGAACATGATGCTGGAAACAGGCTCCGACCTGCCCAGGATGCGCACACAGAACTTGGCTGAGGCCATGAAGACCGCCTGCGGGCAGGCATGGCAAGCGCGGCAGGCGCGGCAGAACATGGGCTTCAAGCGTTCAAAACACCGGTGCGTTGCCAGATGTGGCTGCGAGGTGGTGGCGGCGGCGGCGGCGGCGGGGTGTGGTGTGCGGGCGGGCGAGGCGGGCAGGTGAGGCAGGCGGCAGCGCTCGAGGGCAGGCCCGGTTTTTATAGGAGGTGCCGCTGCTCGCCTGCAGGATGCCGATGCCCACCCCTGCCATGCTGAGCGCCCGGGAGCCGCCGCCAAACAGGAAGGTGGGCTGCGCCACGAGCAGCACGCCCGCCGCGCACAGCGGCGCCGCCGCCGCCATCACCACCCCGCCGCTGCTCTCGCCCAGCACCAGCGGCGACAGCAGCGCCTGCGGCAGGTGCAGAGCAGCAGAAGCAGTCAAAGAAACAACAACTGTTGATGTAGTACGACACAGCACATTCGCTGCTAAGTTAGCGGCCGTCGATTCACAAGCGCACCACGAACAGCGGGGCCAGGAAGGCGAAGACGGCGGCGTCCGCCAGCGGCAGCAGCTGCACCGCGGAGTAGTAGCAGGTGATGGCGCCAAACCCCACCAGCCCCCGCACCAGCAGCAGCCACCTCCTGCGCGTGAGGTGGGGTGGGGTGGGGTGGTGGGGCAGGGGTGGGGGTGTCTCTCTGGTTGTTGCCGCCGTTGCCGCCGTCTGCATGCTGGGGGTGCTTGTGCTGGGTAGCGGTGAGGGCAGGGGCTGAAGGAAAGGCGAGGGTTTGGGGGAGCTGCGATGGCTGGCCGCAGGCAGGCAAGCGCAGGGCACGCGGCAGACAGGCGCCCACCCACCGCGAGCTGCGCCAGGGCCACTCTGCCGCCTGCCCCGCCGCGCGCCTGCCCTGCCACAGCAGCAAGCTGCCCGACAGCAGCAGGACCACTATGGACCTGGCCAGGACGATCTCCATGACAGGGAGGCCCTGCCCTCCGGCCAGCTTGGCGGCCAGGCCCATGCCTGCGGCGCACAGGCCGCTGACCAGCTGCAGGTACAGGCCCGCCTCCGCCCGCCCCGCGCATGGCAGCCGCATCGCCTGCCTGCCTCCTGCGCGCACAGCGAAAGCGAGAACTGCGCCTCAGATGGCCAAGGCGGAAGGCAGCGTGCTGCTGCGGCGGCAGCAGCGGCGGCGGGCAAGCCAGGCGGTAGGGCCGCCTACCTTGGCTCGCCTGTGGGGCCCGCTCCCTGTACTCTGCACAACTCGCGATCACTCCCGTGCAGCGCGCCACACCACCCGCGGCCTCGAAGTGCCGCGCCCCCGTGTTCTGCCACCACCAGCGATGCGCTGTTCTCGTTACGTCAAATGCTGCAGGTGAATTGTGACTGCGAGCTGCGAAACAGCCGAGTAATGGGTTTGTGCCTTCCTGCTGATGCGCTTGTGGGCGCCCGAGTCCCGCCAGCTGGCGGGGAGCGGCGCTACCCAGCCCCGAGTGAGCTGGCATCAATTGCAGACGAGGGATGGAGCTATTTACAAGTTCACGATGAGGCATCGAGTACGAACGAATGGATATCTATGCAAATCAGGAAGAATAAGGTATGTTGTTCTACTTGGCAGGGAGGGCAGCGATGCCGCTGACGAAACGCTCAAGGGCACTGACGAAAGGCTCAAGGGCAGGTGCTAACTAACATCTAGAATCTCCTCAGGCCATTCGCACTGCCGTCCCCCTAGCCGCAATCAGATTTTCATCCTTGATGTGCATCGTCGCCAGCGGGGCCGGCTTCACCACCGGCAGCAGCGGGCCCGCGCCCAGCTGCTGCCCCGCACGGCTCTGCTGCCATGCGTTGGCAATGGCGTCCCGCAGCAGGCCGGGCGGGATGGGGCCCGAGCGCTGGCGCTCGGCGGCGGGCTTGACCAGCGGCAGCAGCACCGCGCCGCCCGTGTTGGCGTCCACGAGCAGCGGCACCTGCCGCGCGGCGGCTGCCCGCGGGCTGCCGGCGGCTCGCGAGGCGCTGGAGGAGCCGGCTGCCGCCTGTGCCCGCTCGCAGGTGACCAGCAGGCCGCCCAGGCAGATGGCGGCGCCACCCACGATGGAGCTGGCCCTGGGGGTGTGGCCAAACAGGTAAAAGTCAGCAGCCAGGCTCCAGACCCTGCACGCGGACATGTGGGGTGGCGGCGGGTGAGGCAGGGCGCAGGTCAGCGTGCGCAGGCCCTCGGCAGGCAGCAGCTGGTGGCAGGCATGCGGGTACCACGCCCCCGGCGCTGCCTCCTCACCCTGAGAGGTAGGACAGCGGGGCGGCCCTGGTGGCCGGCGTGCGCTGCATGGCCGCTGTCATGGCCGCCTGGTGGCCGAAGCTCTGCAGGCGAGGCGGCAGGGGGCGCAGGCGCACGCGGGTGAGCCACAGCGGCTGGCCCTCTACTGCCCTCTGTACGCTGCCATGAGTGCGCAGCCAGCGGCAACAGCCGGTGAAGGCTGGCTGGCTGGGGACTGGGCCAGCGGCAGCATCAGAGGCGAGGCGATGACCTTGTCATCTCACGCAGCAGGCGCGTGTGCTGCCCGCTCACCGCAGCTCCCATGCCCGCTAGCAGAGCCCAGCCGGCGGCGTGCTGGGGCCACACGAGGCGCGCCTGTTGCAGCATGCACGCCGCCGCCGACCCCAGCGCCGACACCAGGCCCGCCGACAGCACGATGGCACTGGCGGCCTGGTGGGAAGAGGAGCCGGCCGCCAGCTGGCGCACGCTCAGCTTGGCGCCCGCAGAGGAAAGCACGTGGGCCAGGCCAAACGCCACGCCGGCCGCGGCGGGCGCCAGTCCCGCCGTGCCGCCGTCGGCGCCAGAGTCGGCGCCGTGTGCCGCGCCGTCACCCATGAAGGTTTGGAAGAACGCGGGCCTGACCAGCAGCAGCGCCCCCGACGTGGCCATGGGGAGCGCCACCAGCAGCATCTGCGGCGGGCGCTCCCGCAGCAACAGCGTGCCGGCGGCAGCCACCACCAGGGGCGACAGCATGGCCAGCGCCACAGCATCCGACACGGCCAGCAGGCTGACGGCCTCCTGGATGCACGCCACAGACACAAAGCCGAGCACGCCGCGCACCACCCACAGCGCCGGCCTGCACAGGCAACGGGAGGCCATCGGCGAGCGGGGACGGGATCAGCAGGCGGCAGCGGAGCCAGCCGAGGCCCCCCTTCTCAGCGGTGCATGTGCTGCCCGGCTCAAATGTGGTGAGAGGGGCACTCCAGCATGACCGATCAAACGGCTCTCGCTGGGCCATTTGCCGCCACAACGGTCAACTCGCCTCTCAGCTATGACCTGCCGGGCGGCAGTGTGCCGTGCGGTGGGCCACCAGCATGCAGCTCCGCAGAAAGACAAGCTGCATGACGGGCATCGGGGCCTCTGGACCTGCGGCAAGCAGCAAGGCAGCAGCCTTGCATCGACAGGCAGCGCTACCTGGCAGCTCAGGTAGCAGGGCAGCTAGCTGGCGCCGCCTATGGCGTGGGCGGCGGGCATGGACGGCAGCCGAACGGTGACTGTTGCAGGTCCCGGCCTACCAGCATAGCCCGACAGGAATTTTGAAGCCACGAGCGACAGACTCGCCAGGAGAGTCGATGCGGCGTAGAGGAGCAGACCCGTGAGCTCCCGCTGGCCGCTCGGCAGCACGCCCATGCTTATGTTTTTCTCAGTGGCAAAGGGGAATAGCTTGGTCGCACGCGTACTACAAATGATCATCAGGCAAAACGTTTGGTTTGCCTGATGCTAGCATGCTAGTACATCGGCTGGCATCTGCTGGCACTCGCGAGCGGGCAAAGTACCAGCTGCACGCGTAGATTCGTTCGCAAAGCGGATTATAGATGATGAGGACGTCTGGACAAGGGAAACACGTGGCCGATGTGTGCTACTTGCAGCCGCCCTGCTGCGCCTGCTTTGCTGGCGCCGGTGGCAGGAGCTGGCCCTTGCATTGCAGATGATGTGAAGAGAAAGAGCTATCGACATGGCTGCAATGAATCCCAATTGCACATGCATGCAATTGGCAGGACGCCGCGCCTCACCCCTCGCTGCTGCTGCCGCTGTCGTAGCCGCCCTCCATGGCCGCTCCCGCCTGGGCTTGCAGCTGGCGCAGCGGCTGGCCGCAGGCAGGCAAGCGCAGGGCACGAGGCGGGCAGGCGCCCACGCACAGCGAGCTGCGGCAGGGCCATTAGAAAGGGCCAGGGCGAGCTGCGCCAGGGCGCCAGGGCGCCAGGGCGAGCTGCGCCAGGGCCATCAGAACTGCGCCCTGCCCCGCCGCGCGCCCTGCCACAGCAGCATGCTGCCCAACAGCAGCAGGACCACTACGGACCTGGCCAGGACGATCTCCATGACAGGGAGGCCCTGCCCTCCGGCCAGCTTGGCGGCCAGGCCCATGCCTGCGGCGCACAGGCCGCTGACCAGCTGCAGGTACAGGCCCAGCATGGCAGCCGCATCGCCTGCCGCATCGCCTGCCTGCCTCCTTTGCGCAGCGAAAGCGAGACCTTCACCTAGGATGCCACAAGGCGGAAGGGGAGCGTGGGGCGGCAGCGGGCACTGCAGCGGGGCCGCCTTGGCGCGCCTGTGGGGCCTGTTCCCTGTACTCTGCACAACTCACGATCAGTCCCGTGCGGCAAGCCACACCACCCGCAGCCTCGAAGTGCCGCGCCCCGTTTTCTGCCACAGCGATGAGTTCAGCTGTTCTCGTCAAGTCAGTGAAATGCAGGTGAGTTGTAACTGAGGCTGGGACTAATGGGTTTGTGGCTTCCTGGCTGGACCGCCTTCAGTCCCGCAGCTGGCACCGGCGGGGAGCCTCGTGAGCGCCGCTACCCCGCCCCGAGTGAGCTGGCATCAATTGCAGACGAGGGATGGAGCTATTTACATAATGAGGCATTGAAGTACGCATGAATGGTTAGCTATACAAACCAGGAAGGAGGCATGTGTTCTACTTTGGAGGGAGGGCAGCAGTTGCCCTGATCAGGGCGTCATGAAGACGTCATCTCAAGGGCAGGTGCTAACTAACAACTAAACACTCATCAGGCCATTCGCACTGCCGCGCCCCTAGCCGCAATCAGGTTTTCATCCTTGATGTGCATCGTCGCCAGCGGTGCCGGTTTGACCACCGGCAGCAGCGGGCCCGCGCCCACGCTGCCCCGCGCGGCTCTGGTTGCCACGCGTTGGCAAGGGCGTCCCGCAGCAGGCCCTGCGGGATAGGGCCCGAGCGCTGGCGCTCCGCGGCGGGCTTAACAAGCGGCAGCAGCACCGCGCCGCCCGTGTTGGCGTCCACGAGCAGCGGCACCCGCCGCGCGGCGGCTGCCCGCGGGCTGTAGGCGGCTTTCTAAGCACCGGAGGAGCCGGCTCGCTCGCAGGTGACCAGCAGGCCGCCCAGGCAGATGGCGGCGCCACCCACGATGGAGCTGGCACAAGGGGCGTGCCCAAACAGGTAAAAGTCGGCAGCCAGGCTCCAGACCCTGCACGCGGACATGTGGGGTGGCGGCGGGTGAGGCAGGGCGCAGGTCAGCTGGCGCAGGTCCTCAGCAGGCAGCAGCTGGTGGCAGGCATGCGGGTACCACGCCCCCGGCGCTGCCTCCTCACCCTGAGAGGTAGGACAGCGGGGCGGCCCTGGTGGCCGGCGTGCGCTGCATGGCCGCTGTCATGGCCGCCTGGTGGCCGAAGCTCTGCAGGCGAGGCGGCAGGGGGCGCAGGCGCACGCGGGTGAGCCACAGCGGCTGGCCCTCTACTGCCCTCTGTACGCTGCCATGAGTGCGCAGCCAGCGGCAACAGCCGGTGAAGGCTGGCTGGCTGGGGACTGGGCCAGCGGCAGCATCAGAGGCGAGGCGATGACCTTGTCATCTCACGCAGCAGGCGCGTGTGCTGCCCGCTCACCGCAGCTCCCATGCCCGCTAGCAGAGCCCAGCCGGCGGCGTGCTGGGGCCACACGAGGCGCGCCTGTTGCAGCATGCACGCCGCCGCCGACCCCAGCGCCGACACCAGGCCCGCCGACAGCACGATGGCACTGGCGGCCTGGTGGGAAGAGGAGCCGGCCGCCAGCTGGCGCACGCTCAGCTTGGCGCCCGCAGAGGAAAGCACGTGGGCCAGGCCAAACGCCACGCCGGCCGCGGCGGGCGCCAGTCCCGCCGTGCCGCCGTCGGCGCCAGAGTCGGCGCCGTGTGCCGCGCCGTCACCCATGAAGGTTTGGAAGAACGCGGGCCTGACCAGCAGCAGCGCCCCCGACGTGGCCATGGGGAGCGCCACCAGCAGCATCTGCGGCGGGCGCTCCCGCAGCAACAGCGTGCCGGCGGCAGCCACCACCAGGGGCGACAGCATGGCCAGCGCCACAGCATCCGACACGGCCAGCAGGCTGACGGCCTCCTGGATGCACGCCACAGACACAAAGCCGAGCACGCCGCGCACCACCCACAGCGCCGGCCTGCACAGGCAACGGGAGGCCATCGGCGAGCGGGGACGGGATCAGCAGGCGGCAGCGGAGCCAGCCGAGGCCCCCCTTCTCAGCGGTGCATGTGCTGCCCGGCTCAAATGTGGTGAGAGGGGCACTCCAGCATGACCGATCAAACGGCTCTCGCTGGGCCATTTGCCGCCACAACGGTCAACTCGCCTCTCAGCTATGACCTGCCGGGCGGCAGTGTGCCGTGCGGTGGGCAGCGTGCAGGCCACCAGCATGCAGCTCCGCAGAAAGACAAGCTGCATGACGGGCATCGGGGCCTCTGGACCTGCGGCAAGCAGCAAGGCAGCAGCCTTGCATCGACAGGCAGCGCTACCTGGCAGCTAGCTGGCGCCGCCTATGGCGTGGGCGGCGGGCATGGACGGCAGCCGAACGGTGACTGTTGCAGGTCCCGGCCTACCAGCATAGCCCGACAGGAATTTTGAAGCCACGAGCGACAGACTCGCCAGGAGAGTCGATGCGGCGTAGAGGAGCAGCCCGAGAGAGCCAGCTGGCCGCTCGGCAGCACGCCAATACTCGCTGTATTTCTCAGTCGCAAAGGGGAATAGCTCAGTCTCAGGCGAGGCGGCTACCATTTAGATGACCATCAGGCAAAAACGTTGGTTTGCCTGATGCTAGCGCTGGCGAGTACCTTTGCCAACACTCGCGAGCGGGCAAAGTAGCAGCTGTACCCGTGGATAAGTTCGCAAAGCGGATGATATATGATGAGGACGTCTGGACAAGGGAACACGTGGCCGAAATGTAGCTTGCCCTGCTGCGCCTGCTTTGCTGGCGCCGGTGGCAGGAGCTGGCCCTTGCATAGCAGGTCATGTGACGACAAAGAGCTATCTGCTGCAATGGATCCCAATTGCACATGCATGCAATTGGCAGGACGCTGCGCCTCACCCCTCGCTGCTGCTGCCGCTGTCGTCGCCGCCCACCATGGCCGCTCCAGCCTGGGCTTGCAGCTGGCGCAGCCTGGACAGCAGCCCGGAGGGAGAGGCTGCGTCGACGCTGGAAGCGTGCAGCCGCCCGGCCGCCTGCTGGCCAGCTTCGCTCCAGCCCGGCACCGGCGCCGGCTGGGACGTGGTGCAGGCCTGCGGCGCCGCCGCTCGCAGCTGGCGCAGCAGCTCGCCAGGACTGCCTGGCTGGGGCGGCGCAGCGCTGCTATCCAATCCGGGCCCTTCAGAATGCTGCTGCTCCCCCTCCTGGATCCCACCTCCCGCTCCAGCGCCTGGCTCGGTGGCAGCACCTGGGCTGCCAGCTGCTAGCGCTGCCGCCGCGGCAGCAGTGCTGGCAGAGGCAAGCGCGTCGGCGGCCCCGGGCAGCAAGTGGCGGCGCAGCAGCCCCTCCCCGCCCCGGCTCCACAGCCGCAGGCCACACAGGTTCTCGGTGGTTGCCCGGGTCAGCATGCGGGACAGGCGGTCCAGCTGGCGGAAGGGCAGGCGCCACACGTGCCCACGTCCGCGACTGCCCGCACACCCTGCAAGCAGGGGCCACACAACAACAAGTCCCGAAAAGTTGATGGGCTGCGTGCGAGCGGCCAGGACAGCAAACGCCTAACATCGCAGGCCACACTGCCGCAGTGAGTCCCACAGTACAGCCGGCGGAGGCAGCCCACGGGCCGAGCAGCTCACCCGCAACACCCGCCGCCGCCAGCAGGGTGACAGAGCTGTCGGCAGCGCACAGGCGCACCGCCTCTCCAGCCTCCTCATCCAGCCGGATGCTGCGCAGCAGGCGCCCGCCCTCCAGCACTGCACAGGCAGGGCGCGGCAGGCGGGCACGCACATATGCCGGCTGTGGCGGCATGCCAGGCGCAGCACGGCAGTGGCGGGCCAGGCGGTCCTTCCTGTCGCAGGGTGGTGCGGCTCCCAGCGCCAAGCGAGCAGGCGGCACAGGCAAAACCCTACCTCTCAGGTGCCAGTCGGGCGGCAGGTCTGGCTTGTCCCAGTGTGAATCATGGATAGACAGAGCAGGGCTGCCGCCTGCCTGTTCGCCACCCCCACATCCCTCCGCAGGCGCTGCCTCTGCTGCTGCCGCCTGGCTTGCTGCGGGCTCGCTGCCAGCGCCGGCTGCACCTGCGCCAGCGCTGCTGGCGGCACAGTTGGGGAAGCTGCTGAGCCCGCCTGCCGCGGCGGCGGCGCCTTGGCCCCCAGGCGGTGGCGCCGCCGGCGCCGCCGGCGGAACGGCCTGGGGCTGCGGCGCCTGCGGCTGCCAACCGCCGCTGCTGCTCTGCTGCTGGGCAGGCGCTGGGGAGCCGCTGGCACCGAAAGCGCCGCTCGCTGCGATGCTCAGCGTCAGTGGCTGGCCGGCGGGAGCGGCCAAGCGAAGCGCCACACTGCCGCCTGGCGCCAGCTGCAAGCTGATCTGGCTGCCCGCCTGCAGCTCCACACTGACGCTGCCTGCGCTGCCGCCTGAGCCGTCCGTCACAGGCGCTGCCGCCGCAGCGGGCGCATGAGCGGCAGGAAAGTGGCGCGTGCCGGCGGCGGCAGCGGTGGCGGTGGCGAACGCTGCGCCGGCGGGAGTGGCCGCGCTGGGTGTGCTGGGTGCTGGCACGGGGTTGGGCCCAGGCGCAGGGTTGGGTGCTGCTGGCGCGGGTGCAGTGAACTTAAAAATGCTGCAGGCCTGCTGCTGGCGCTTTGCGTGGGCCTGGGCATCGGCCCACCGCAGCTCCTCTGGGCTCCAGCCTGCGACCCGAGGCAGTATGCAGATGTGACAGAACTGCACCGTCTCACTCGCCACGCTACCCTGCTGCGGGTAATACCAGGTCCCCGACGTACCGGGACCTGCAGCACGGCGGGTGCAAGGGCGGGGTTGGACAGCCAAACCACGTGCAAGCAACGCAACGGCGGGCGGGCGGGTGGTGCGGCGGCGGCAGCTGACGGCAACGCCGCAGCTAGGGATCAGCGAGAGATCCCAAACGGCCATCGCTGGCGCGTGCGGCACTCACACTCGCTCGCCATGCTGCTTCGTGAGCGGGACTTAGTCGGTGTCGGAGAGCTAGAGGGCCTCAGCTGCTGGATGCGAAGCAGAGCTGGCGCAGATGACGAGAAACAACCCCATCGCGCAAATGGCTTGCAGATGTGCTCCCAAGTCCCGCCCGCCACCGCAGCGTGCCCAGCGGCCCAACACACTGTGATCAACATTACAGATCTCTCTTCAACATGTATAAACGTGACAGCGATGGTTCATGCATTCGTGTGGTTCAATCAGAGCTGCCTGCACAGGTGGATGCCTTGTCTGCCGATGGCATCCGTCCGTCAGCCGCTGCCGGCGGCACTGGCGGAGGGCCCTGGCTCGCCAGGCACAGCAGCTGGCCCCGTCGCAAGACTCACCGTCAGCGGCTGGCCGACCGGTGCCGCCAGGCGCAGCGTCACGCCGCCGCCAGCCTCCATGTGCAGGCTGACCTGGCTGCCCGCCTGCAGCTCCAGGCCAAGGATTGCGGCTCCAGCACCGGTGGCCGCCGCCGCCTGAGAAGCATTAGCAGGCACAGGGAATGCCACAGGCGCGGGCGCGGCAAGCGCCACGGGGCCTGCATCCGTGGGCCAGGCTGCCGCTGGCGCGGCGCCCGGCTTGGCTGCAGCGCCGTGCCTGCCTGAAGCGCCTGGCCGGGTGGGGGCGCCGCCGCCGGGCCGGGTCGCCGCCGCCGCTCCGCGTGCCGGCCCCTGCTGCTGGCTGCGCAGGTCTGCCCAGCGCAGCTCCTCGGAGCTCCAGATGCAGCGTTCCGGCATGCTGCTGATGTGGCACAGGTAGGTGAGGTACTGGATCCTGGTTTTCTCGCTGAAGTCCTGCACGCACTGCGGCTCGTACCGCACGTCCCTGCTGCCCGGGCCTGCATGCATCACACGCACAGCCCCCAAGCTCAGCTGAGGGGGTTGTCAGCTGGGGTTGCAAGGGGCGCAGGGCGGAGCGGCGGCGGAGGCAGCTGCGAGGCTGGCGGCAGTTGTGAGTGCAGCACTTCGGTGGCAGGCGGGCACCCAGTGCACAGGCTCACACTCTGCCGGCGTGGCATGGGCAACGCCGAAGGCTGGGGCCGGGTCTGCCGGCGCAGGGAGCTTGGAGGCGGAGGGTGGGGGTGGCACTGCCGTCGCAGGCGGGGTAGAGGTGAAGGCTGATGCCGGGGCGTGGGCCGCTCTCCACCCGCCGTCCGCCCACCGCAGTTCTTCGGTGCTCCAGGCCTGGCACTCCCCGCCGCCGCATATGGAGCAAAGAAGGGTGGTGGCGCACCCCGGCACAGCGCCCTCCTCGAGCTCCACCTGCCACGGCTTGTAAGGCTTGGTCTTGGTGCCGGGGCCTGCACATGCGTGCATGCATCCCAGGCAGGGCCTTGGTTCAGAGGTGGCGGGCAACGCCGGTTGCTGCCGGGGCAGCATGCTGCAAGCATGCGGGCAACTGTATGCGGGCAGCTATGGCCTTGCCGAGTGGCGGCATGCGAGGCGCGCGCGGCAGGCAGGCTCACACTCTGCCGGCACAGGGAGGGCCGAGGTGGACGCTGGGGCCTCTTGCGCGCTCTCCCTCCTGCTGCTGGTCAGCCCACCGCACGTGGCGGGTGGCAGGCGCGCCGCTGGGCTCCTCCTCGTCATCCTCCTCCTCTGCCTGGGAGTCGGTGTCTGAGGCCGTCCCGCCACTGTCTGATGCTGTCCACGAAGCGTCGGCCCACCGCAGCTCCTCGGGACTCCAGTCGGCGCAGGCAGGCTGGCGGCCGATATGGTGGATTCTCACCCGCGGCCTGCCCCGGACGCCTTGCTTCGTGAGCTGCGGGAAGAAGAGGTTTCCACGCGAGCCTGGGCCTGTATGGGTGTTGGGCCGTGGAAGAGTGGGGCAAAACGTGGGCAAGCCAGGGCAAGGAATAGCGCGCGCCTCAGGCGGCAAGGAGAGAGAGTAGGGCAGCAGCAGCAGCGTCTGCACCGTCTGCAGTCTGGACTCACACTTGCTCGCCATGCTGTTGGCGCGGGAACGAGTCTGCTGTTCCAGAGGACTCTGGCCTGTGCGGTGGCTGTTGAGATTGACCTGTATGCCGATGCAGAGCTCAAAACGGCCGGGCCCCAGGACTTCGGCGTGGGCCGCAGCAGTACCTCCACTGTCCCGCCCCCAGGGCAAGGAAAGTGCCTGCACCTTCCAACGTTTCGTTCCAACGGCCAAGCGTGTCTCTTGTTTTGTGCTCTGCTCGCTGCCTTGTCTTCTCCTCTTCTAGCTCGCACTTATTTTACGACATGGCGATGATGCACCGCCGCGCCTCCCTCGCCGCCGCAGCAGCGCTGCTGCTGCTTGCGTCCACCGCCCACGCCCAGCAGTGCTACCAGGCAGACCAGGAGGTCAATGTACGTAAGGCTTCGGGGTTGGAAGAGCTGCGCACAGGGTTTGTGCCCGAGCACAGTTAGTTTGTGCCCGAGCACATCGACACAGTACCCGCCTTGTCAGCGCCGCCACTAGTTGGGGAACCCTTGTGCCCTCTGAGTGCAGGTGCGCTCTCAGGCCTCCATCTGCTCTGGAGCCAAGGGGAGCATCCAGGAGGGCGACATTGTCAGATTCGACGGCTCCCCCGAGCGCGAGTGCTACAATTGGGCTGAGGGCACGGTACGCTCAGGGCCGCGTCAGCACCAGACAACCCCAGCTGAGATGCAGGGCGACGCTGCCCTGCCCCTCTGGCCGCCATTGGTGGCAATTCCCTGCCTCCCCCCATCAGCGAGCTCGCTTGCATTGGTCTGCTGCCTGCAGGTCGAGACTGGCGGCCTGGATGGCACAGAGGTGATAGTGGAAGTGGGGGGGAGCGGGTCGCTTCCTGTTCCAGCCAAGCCCTCCAGCTTCCAGCCGAACCACTCCAGCCAGGCCCTCAAAGCAAAGATGTTCGTGTTTCCCATGCGGCCAGGGTTACTTCAATTTGGATGCCATGAGCCCCGTGTCCTGCCCCGATACCGCGCCGCCGCCAAACGCGCCATGCAAGAACCCCGGCGAGGGCTGCTCCTCCTCCTCTGAATGCTGCCAGAGTGAGCCGGATCCAGAGGGGGTGCGGCGGCGGCAGCCCCAGCCACCCTGCTCAGCATCTTTTGCAGCTGCCAGTGGCGCACCATCTGTTTAAGCATGCTGCCCCTGCCTGCCCATGCCCATACTGGCTGCAGCTGGCAGCGGGCCCCAGGTGGTGTGCGAGTCCCCGACCCCCGGGGCCAACAAGGTGTGCACCGGCGGGGCGGTCGTCACCAGCGCCGTCCAGCAGCCCTGAGCAGTCCAGCCCGCCTATCCAATCCAGACGTCAATTTTGAGGGCGCAGCTGGCACGGCCTGCGCTGCACAGAGACCATGCCTGGTGGCTGACTGTGCTCCAGCCAGCTGCGTTTTTATTGTGTGCAAGTGCGTGTTAACGAACGAATGTGTATTGTGCAACAGGCAGTGCATATGTAAAGCCACTACAGAGCTGGTTTGCAGAAACAACCAAAGAGGGGCGGAGCAAAGCAGGCAGATGGCACGCACGACACACACCTAGCCTAGCAGCTACTAGCGTGTCAGGAAAGATACACTGCATTTCGGTCGGGCTGCTCAATTGGCGCACCAGGCTGTGGCCAGTCAAGGCTCCAGGATAGCTCTCATGGTAAGCAGGCGGGCTCATGCGTTGTAGGGGTCGATCAGCCCCTTCTCCACACACTTCAGGTTGTGCTCAAAGTGCATCTTGACGTAGCCCTTGAGCCGGCTGTGCACCTGCGGGCAGGGGCGGTGTGGTCGGGTCGTCGTTGTTGTGATGTACGGGCAGGGAGGCAAACGCGGGCTGGACAGCCCCCAGCCCCGCCGGGGCATCTGCATCCAGCCACATGCAGGCTGCACTGCATGACAGAGCCTCGCCCCCTGCCCACCTGGTCCTCATCTTCTGCCGCAAATTCCGGCAGCAGGGCGTCGGGCGGACGCTCCCGCATCGCAAACCCTGCGGCAGGGCAGCGGGCCGCGGTGGCGGTCGGCCCGCAGCGCCTGCCACGCAGCTGATGGGGCAGTGGCTTGACAGCGGCGTCAAACGCAGGGGACCAGCAGGCGTGAGCAGATGCAGGGAGCGGCAGCTGGCCTGCCATGCAGCTTCCACAGCCAGCGCGCCGCACCTGGCGCCCCCTGCAGCTGCTGCAGCTGCTGCAGCAGCGTGGTCTTGATGCGCTCCACCTCCTCCTTCTTGTTCTGGTTGGGCCAGGTCTGCGGGGAGGCGGGGGAGCAGCCGGAACACGAGGCTGGGGAATCAACTCAGGTGAGGCTCCCCCGGCGCCAGGGCGGCACCGAGGCCGGGCAGCGCCTCCTGCTTCTGTGCGGTACTGCAGGCGGTACGGCCACACGGATGCCCACCGGTCGTCGGTTGTAGTGCAGGCGGTACTCTGGGGAGAAGTAATCGAGGTACATCTGCTGCGGCAGCGCATCCTCCACCTCCTGCTCGCACAGCACGGCTGCGGGCGGCGGGAGGGGGAAGGCGACACGGCGTGGTGTGCGTGTGCCGGGTGTGGGGCACGGGGCAGGAGGGCAGGGAGGGTCCATGGGGCATGGGGCATGACGGCGGGAGGGCGGGCATGTTGGCAGGCGAGCTTCCCGCAGGTGTGCAGCAGCAGCAGCAGCAGCAGCACACCCGTCTCTAGCGTCCAGGCCCGCGCTACTGTCGTCTTGGTGTAGCCGCCGCCGCCCAGCACCTGCCGCACGCAGCCGCGCCGCGGCCCGTCAACACGTGCATGCCTTGCACCCGGTGCTGGGCTGATGAGCAGCTGGGCTGCCTCCATGCCGCACACTCCCTCTGGACACAGGCACACCCGCCAGCCACACACAGCCAGCCACACACAGCTAGCCACACACAGCCACACACCGCCAGCCAGCCAGCTCACCAGGATGGGTAGGCCAAAGGACTTGACATAGCGCACCGCCTCTGCATGCCCCTCCAGAGTCAGGTTGAACATGCCCAGCCTGTCGCCCACCAGCGAGTCGGCGCCTGCAGGATGGGCAAGCGGGTGCGTGGGTGAGCGGGCGGGATGGGCCGGAGGGGGGCACTGAGCAGAGATAGGGAGGCAAGCGGATCGCAGCGCAGGCGGGGGGACGGAGCATGGGCGGGCAAGGCAGGGCAGCAGCATGGGTGGGCAAGGGAGGCAGGCAGCCAGGTGGGCGGAAGCGTGGCGCAGCTGCAGGCAAGGCGGGGTCCACGCACCGCACTGCAGCACGATGGCTCCCGGCTGGAACACCTCCATCACTTTGCTGCAGCAGGTGGGGACGCACAGGGCGCACGACGGGCATGAAGCACAGGCCAAAGCGGCCGCAGGGCAGCCAGCCAGCAGGCGGAAGCACGGCAGCCACCACCCTGATCCTGCCCCAGTGCTGCACCCCCACCAGACCCTCGCCACACCTAATGATAGGCTTGAACAGGCCCAGGTACTGCTCCGTGTCGATGCCTTGCACCAGCGGCACGTTCAGGCTGTACCCTTTGCCCTGCACGGCAGGCGCAGCGGGCGTTGGCGCCAGCGTAGGCAGCAGCTGGCCAACCCTTCATGCAAAACCGACGCACGCGACGCGGGCTTTAGTGGTACGTGAGTGGCAGCAGCTACCACCGGCGCAGTACCGCCACCCACCTGGTACTCTCCAATCTCCTCCAGCGCTCCCGTACCGGGGAAGAAGGGCTGCCCGCCCCACTCCTGTTTCAGGTGGAAGCTCACGCACATCACTCTGCACATGGGAGGGGCAGGAGCAGATCGGCAGGGTCGGCAGGCATCACGTCAGCAGGCGGGGCAGCAGGCGAAGCCCGTGATGGCCAAAATAAACAGAAGCAGAACCCACCCCGGCGTCCAAAGCACACACACACACAGACACACACACACACTGCACCCCGGAATGCGCCCACAACTACCCCCACGCCCACGCTCACGCCCGGCCACCTGTCTGTGGTGTAGAAGGCCTCCTCCACGCCGTCGCCGTGGTGGATGTCGATGTCAATGTACAGCACCCGCGGGTTGTGCTTCAGCAGCTCCAGGATGCCCAGCACGCAGTCGTTGATGTAGCAGAAGCCTGCGGTACAGGAGGTACAGGAGGTACAGGAGGTTCACGCGTTGCGGCAAGGGCAAGGTGCGAGGCACGCGCGGTGCAGCGAGGCGCGATGACAGTGTGCATGCACTGTAGGTGCAAGCGGCCGGCCAAATGGGGGTGGAAATGGGTGGGGGTGGTGGCGAACCACGTTGCAGGTAGGCAGGCGGGGTGGCAGGCGGGGTGGCAGGCACCCACCCGATGCCTCCGCCTTCTTGGCGTGGTGTAGTCCCCCTGCCCAGTTGATGGCTATGTCTGCCTGCCCATGGTTGAGCTTGTAGGCTCCGTCTGCAAGCGGGATGGGAAGGGGCACGAGGAGGGTTGCAGGCAGGGGCCCCTGGATGTGGGATTGCCGGCCGCAAAACCCTGGGCTGCTGCGGCCGGCGGCTGCAGCGGCTGCCGCGCGCCGCATACTGCCTGCCGCTGCCGCGCACCGATGCTGGCCGCCGCGTATTGCCTGCAGAACTTGAAGAGGCCGTGGAAGATGGGGCAGTCGTACTCGATGCCCCACCGTAGGTAGCTGTCCCACTTGGCCTTCTGCAGGCAGAGGGAGAAGAAAAACAATCAGTGACAGCAAGCAGGGGCAGGCATTAGGGGCGGGGCAGGCACAGAGCAGGGGAGGCGGGCAGGCACAGAGGGCGCCAGGCACGCGGCGCAGGCAGGGCGGCACAAGAAGGGCAGGGCTCTGAGCGCAGGCCGGGCAGCGGGCAGGCAGGCAGACTGGCGTCCCAAGGGAAGCGTGCGTGGCGCACGAGCATGCTGTGCATGCTGTGCATGCTGTGCAGCGCCTGCCCCTGGGCCCGCCGCCTTGCCTGCATCTCTGGAGTGGTGCTGCGCAGCATATCGATGAACTCCTCTGAGTGGAAGGCAGTCAGCTCATCGTACTGGGCCAGCCGCGGGCGCTGCAGGCAGGAGGGCGGCGGCAGCGGCGGCGGCGGTGGGCGAGGGTAGGCCGAAAGGCAGGCGAGCGGCCAGGCGGCGGACGGGATGCACGGCAGGGTGCGTCCCGCAGGCCGCAGCTGCGCAGGCCGGGGTGCTTCAGGCTGCCTTCGGGCTGCTACACGCAGCGTCCAGCTGCCTAGCTGGTTCGTGCCACGCTGAAGAAGGCCTCACATAAACGTCCAGGTGCTTGTGCAGGCCGTAGCCCAGCACCAGCTGGTGCGTCATGGCGATGCGCTGCGGCTTCATGGGATGGTCTGGCCCGTAGTAGTATCCCGTGTAGTCATCTGCAGGTGAGGCAGGCGGGTGCTGGGTGCTGAGGGAGAGCAAAAACCAGCGTCGCTGGTGTCCGCAGGTGGGGAGGACTGCGGGCAGGTGACGCCGGCGGCGAGCCACTCACTGTCGTAAAAGTAGGCGATCTTGTTCTTGCGGCCGCTCATGGCGGCGGCCTGGACTCCTCAGCACGCCGCCTGCGCCACGCACCAGGGTTGTTAGCAATGGCGACGGCGGGAGGGCGGGGGCGGGCGGAGGCGGGAGAGAGCGCCCACTTGCGCTGCGGGGTGCAGCCCGCCCTGGCCGCTTCTGACGCCCTGCAGGTGCGTTGCGGGTAACTCCAGGGGCCAAAAGAGCTGCGGCCAGCGAATCCCTCGGCGGCCTAGAGTTGGCTTCACAGGCTGGCACCCGCTTCCAACGTGATGTCCATCTCTAGGAGACTGTCGGAGGGGGGCACATGAGCGCAGCGGGCGCCTTTCTTGAACCCATGCAGGCCACGTGGCGCCCCTCTCGTGCTCCCTTCAAAGCGACCTAGCGCCCCTCCACGGTGACAGGCACCTGCGTCCATTTCATGTGGAGGGCAGGCCCGACCAAAAGGCGACGCAATCAGCAAGCAGAGTCGTGTACTCTTGGCAACAACGTGCCCCACGCGCCTCACTGAACGTGCAGTCGTCCCAAGAGCCCGCTATGATCCCATGAGTCGCGTCAGGCGCGGCCCCGCTGAGCGCTGAGCAAGGCGGGATGAGCGAGCAGGGCGCCTTTTCTCGCGGGGTACGTGCTGGGGAACCAATCAAAGGGGCCGTAAGCGCGCGCGGGCCCCTGCAGCGCTCCAGGTTGGGCCCGTCGGAGGCTCCGTCGGGGCGGGAGCGGCCCGCCGCCCAGCGGTGGCCGGGCATTCAGTCTGCCTCCTGCAGCTGCCGAGCCGCCGGCGAGCCTGTCTGTGCCCCTGGTCCTGCAGGATAGAGGCCACGACCATGGCGGGGGCAGCTTCCGGGACCGCGAGCGGGGAGCCAAGGTGTGTGGGCGCGCCTGCCACGGCACACTGGCTGGGTGCTCCTGCATCTTCTGTGGGTGGCAAGCTGTGGTGGGTGCTGTGCCTGTATCAAGCTCCTCACCAGCCATCAACTCCCGCCCTGCGCTCTGTTGCCTTCTGCTGCAGCGTGAGCGCACCGGGGGCGGCCCCTCGCCTGAGGCTGGTGGCAGCCTGGGGCGCCAGCCGGGCAGCGGGCTGGACCGGGGCGGTGGCAGCCAGGATGCCTGGGAGCCGCCTTACCCTGGCAGCAAGCGGGGGCGGTTTGGGGAGGAGCGAGACCGCGACCGCGGGGGCGATCGCTTCGGGCCGCCGCCACCGTACCCGCCGCAGCTCGACGGCGGCCGCTTTGGCAGGCTGCCGCCTCCCATGGGCGGCGGAGGAGGCAGGGGGCGGTTTGGCGACGGCGGAGGGCGCTACGAGGGTGTCCGGTTCGACGGCGGGCCGCCACGGCACTTTGGAGGGCCCTCTGGCCGCGGCCGGGGTGAGCGCAGCTGCCCCGAACTGGTTGGGTGTGGCTGGCGCCGCTTGCCATGCGGCAGCCAGCGCAGCCTGCTGTGTCACAGCCTGCAGTGTGGCACCCGGCTGTGTAGGGCGCCTGCTGTGTGTGCTGCCTGCCGCGCGTGCATGAGCTGGCGCCAGAAAAGTGCTGTGACGCCACCGTGCACCTCCCGCTGGCCGGCCTGCTGCAGGCGGCTTTGGCTTTGGCGACCGCCCTCCGCCAGACAGGCCGCCTGTGCGTGGCCACATGGGGCCGCCACCGGCTGCCGACTTCCGTCCCCCCCCCGGCTTCGACACCTTGCTGAGCAAGCAGGGCAGCGGCAAGGAGCAGCGGCGGCCGCGCAGCGCCAGCCCTCCCCGCCGCCAGCGCAGCGGCAGCCACGAGCAGGCGCGCGAGCGGCGCGGCAGCGGCGGCAGCGCCAGCCGCAGCCGGCACGGCAGCCCGTCGCGCGCGCCGCGCAGCAGCGGCAGCAGCCCCCGGCCGCGCGACAAGGACAGGGGCAGGCCGGCGCGGGCTGAGGGCGGCGGCGAGGGGCAGCGCCGCAGGCGCAGCGCCAGCCTGCCGCGGGAGGAGTTCCAGCCGCCCACGCGCAGCCCGCCGGGCAGCGCCGAGGCACCCGCGGGGCCCGGCCGCCGCAGCAAGCAGCCGCAGCCGCAGGCGAGGGAGCTGGACCTGTCACCTACAGATGCCAGCAGGCTGGCCACGCTGCCAGCTGGCATCCCGGTGGCGGAGCCGACCCTCGCGGCGCCAGCAGCCGCGGCCACGCAAGCAGCGTCGCCGCCGGTGCCAGCTGCCGCTGCCGCTGCCGCCAAGGATGGCTCCACCTCTCCTCCCCTCTCCCCGATGTCCTCAGGCCTGCCGCCCGCAGCGCCGCCGCCCGCGTCGCAGCAGACGGCCGACGCCGCTGACGTGGCGCTTCCAGCTCAGCTGGCAGACGATGCATCCTCTCCCGGGGCGCCACCTGCCGCAGCGCCAGCCGCAGCGCCAGCCGCAGCACAGCAGCAGCAGCAGCAGCAGCAGCACCAGGCTGGGTCTACGGCACTGGGCGCGGCAGCCGCTGCTCCGCAGCCACCCGCGGCACTGCCAGCCGGGCCTGGCAACTCGGAGCAGGCCCCCGGGGCCGCCGAGCAGCAGCAGGAGGCGGCGCCGGTGCCGCCGCCGCCGGCCAGCCCTGGTGTGAAGGTTGAGGCAGGTGGGGCAGCCGGTGTGCCCAAGCAGGCGCAGCAGCAGCCACGGCAGCCGCGGGTGAAGCAAGAAGAGCAGCAGCAGCAGGAGCCCGCGGCACCCAACGGCCTGCCGGCAGCGGGCTCGCCTATGGCTGTGGATGTGGCGCCCGCAGGCGCCTCGCCAGCAGCCGGTGCCAAGGCCCCCGCAGCCGCGCCGCCAGGCTGCAAGCCAGCCGGCGCCAGCCCTCTGTCCAAGGCCGTCACGGGCTCGCCGGCGGCGGCGGCGGCGGCGGCGGCGGCGGCGGCGGCTGCGGCGACCCCCGTAGCAGCCGCTCCCGCCGCTGCCGCTGCGCCTGCTGGGGCGGCTGCCGCGAAGCTGTCGATCCTGGGGGTCATCGAGTCACTGGATCAGGAGCTGGCGCAGGTGCAGCAGCAGCTCCAGGGAAGCCGCGCCGACCAGGGTCGCCTGCAGCAGCGCGAGGCGCACATCGCCAAGGTGGGCTTGCCCGTACCGCACTGTACTGCTTTCCGCCGCATACTGTACTGCTTTCTTCGCCGGCCTGCAGCCGTGCCTGCCCTGCCTGCCTGTCGCGAGTGCTGCTGGCCTCAGTCCTATACCCGGCGCCTCGCCTGCGTCTCCCTGCCGGCTCCCGGCTGCTCACCATGCTTGTCTCCTGGCTGCTCATCATGCTTGTTTGCCTTCTGCCCTGCCCGGTCACCCTGTCTGCCCCTTGCCCTTCCCGCTCACCATGTCTGCCCCTTGCCCTGCCTTGTCCCAGGCTCTGGACAAGCTCCAGTCCAAGCCGCCCAAGCGCCCCGCCGCTGCGGCGGCCGACACCGGCAGCGACGTGTCTGACGTGGAGCTCTCTGAGAGCGAGGAGTCGGAGGATGAGGTGGCGCCGGCTGCTGCGCGGCGGCGGCGCCGCAAGGAGGGCGGCGGCGGCCGCGGCGGCGGCCGCGCTGTGGCGGGCGCGACGTCTGTCGAGGCCCTGGCTGCCTGGGGCCAGGCGGGGGTGGTGGGGATCAAGCGGGAGGCAGCCTTTGCTGTGGTGGAGGAGTGGGAGGTGTGGGAGCCTCAGGCGGAGGATTCTGAGGAGGAGTGGGGCGGGCAGCGGCGCAAGGGGCGCGGCAAGGGGCGGCGCGGGCGCAAGAAGGAGCGGCAGGAGGAGAAGGCGTGCGCCGGGCGCGACGCCTGGGAGCAGGCGCTGCCGCCGCGGCAGCGCCTGGCGCTGCGCGCGCTGGCGGCCGCGGTGGGCGCCGTGGCGGCAGAAACCACGGTCGTGGATGTGCTGCGCCAGGCGCAGCAGCAGGCGGTGCAGGCTCACGCCTCACTGGCGCCCGCTGTGCCCGACGCGCTGCTGGTGCCCGCTGGCAGCCCCAACGCGCCAGCCGTGGGCGTGGCAGGCACCGGCGCCGCAGCGGCCGCCGCCAGCTGCAGCAATGGCGGCAGCAAGGCCGGGCGTGGCGGCGTCGGCAAGGCGACCGGCGCGGTGGCTGCGCTGCTCAATGCCAAGCCTGCTGACCTCAGCAGCTTCCAGGTGCCTTCCACGGTACTGGCATTCGAGGAGCTTACGCAGCTGCCGCAGTACCGCCGCAACCTGGAATCGTACTGCAAGTGAGTGAAGGCAGGCAGGGCTTCCAGCCAATCATTTGGCAACACATCCCCCTGCCAGCACGCCCGTGTCCTCTAACCCTCGTCGTATGCTCTGTGCTGCGCTGGGTGCCTTGCTGCTGCGGACGCTGACAGCGCTGCTTGCCGCTGCCCCTGGCTGCTTCCGCCTGCCTGCTCGCAGGACGCGGGTGGGCGTGCAGAAGGTGCTGCACCGCGAGTTTGGCTCCCTGCTGCGCAAGCATGTGGAGCTGGCGGTGCAGTACAGGGTGCGGTACGAGCAGTACCGCGCTGCAGAGCAGCGGCGCCAGGCCATGCTGCAGGAGCAGCAGCAGCTGGGTGAGCGGGCGCTGCGGGTTGGTGTGCCATATGTGTTTGGGAGGGGAGGAGAGCGGGCACCCGCAAGCCTGTCTCTGCTCTCGCCCTCCAGTGGAACCCCCTCCTGCCTCCCTCACGCACTGTCGCCTCACCCTCCCCCGCCCTCGCCCTGCGCTCCCCGCCGCCGCAGCGGCCGCCATGGCGGCGCACCGCCAGGGCTCGATTGGCGTCGCCCAGTTCCAGCCCATGTCGCCCACCCTAGGGCGCAGCACCAGCCGCGGCCGCAGGTGCGCTCACCCCTCCCCTCCCAAGAAAGTAGGTGCACTTAACCTGTCCATCCGCCCCTCTCCTCGGCACCTGCTCGCTCCCCGCGTTTTTCGCCTCACCCCCCACTCCCCACACCCCATCACCACCACACGCAAACCACACACACCTCCTTCCGCCTCCCCCTGCTGCTGGGCGTGCAGCGGCGACTACATCCGCAGCGACTACGAGGAGAAGCAGGCCATCGCCACGCTGCAGGCCATCGAGCTGGTGAAGCACTACACCGAGGTACATGGTGCAGTACAACACGAGGCAGTACTGCATGGCGCATGGGAACCATTGGGGGCAGTGCGGTGCTGCTCCATGTGTGTGTGTGTGTGTGTGTGTGTGTGTGTGTGGTCCCTCACCACCTTCGCCACACCACCCTGCCCGCCTACACCCCCCTGCCCGGCGCCCCGCCTCCCCGCGCCTTCCCCGCAGCTGCCCCGCATGGAGCTGCCGCCTCCACGCCAGGCCCGCTGGGAGGCGTACGAGGACCGCAACCGGCTGGTTGGCGACCCCGAGGAGGACGACGAGGCCGCCTGGTTTGTGCGTCCCTGGACTGAGGGGGAGCGCAAGGTGTTTGCCGACAAGTTCCTGGCTCACCACAAGGTGGGGCCTGCTGCGCTGCGCTGCGCTGTGTGATGTGCACACGCACACTCACACATGCGTGCGTGCTCTCTGTCTCTGTTCCTGCGCCACCGCCGCATCGCACGTGCACGCATTCGCAACTGTCCCCCCACACACGCCCACACACCCACACAACCAACTTTGCACGGCGTGCTGCCCTGCAGGACTTCCCGCGCATCGCCACCTTCCTGCCCGGCCGCACGGTGGAGGAGGTGGTGCGGCTGTACTATGCGGTACAGCGTACCGACGAGTTCTCCCAGACGCGGCGCAAGTACCTGCTGCGCAAGCGCCGAGAGCAGGTGCGGCGGCTGGCCTGGCCTCGGGCTGCCGCCCCTGCCCCGGCGCCGGCCTGCCCGTGTGGCGTGGCTCCGCCTGGCGACCCCGGTGCATGGGGTCCAGCTGCCGGCGTCCCCATAGCCCCCAGCCGCACACGCCTTGCTGTCGCCTCGCCGGCAGCGTCACACGCCACAGCGCCACGCCCCCAACTACCTCCTGCACGCATCCACACCCCGCACGCGCGCCCGCACATGCCCGCAGACGGAGAGCAACAAGAGCCTGCGCGGCTTTGGCAACTTCATGGGCATGGGCGGCCACAGCCTGGTTGCAGACCTGGAGGTGGCGCACCAGCGGCAGGAGGAGGAGGCGCACCGCCCCGGCGGCGGCACGGGCCTGGGGCGCAGCAACAGCCGCGGCAGCGGGCTCAACGGCGGCGAGGTGCGGCGGCGGCGCGGCGCTCCACCACACCCGTCTGCCTTTTCCAACCCTGCGCCCCGGCCGCCTGCGCTGTCTTCCCATTCCTGTGGTTGTGTCGTGCTCGGCGCCGTGGCATGCTGCCCCATACTCACCTCTGCCGCGCGCCCCCGGCCTCCCCACCCTGTGCTGCAGCGCCCCGCACGCAGCCGCAGCCGCTCTATGCTGCTGGATGCTGGCACCGGGCCGCTGGCAGCCGCCCCCATCGAGTTCTTCACCGGAGCGGCGGCGGCATGCTTCCCGGATGCGCCAGCCGTGGCGCCAGGTGGCGCGCCAGGCGGGCTGCCCGCTCTGCAAGCCGTCAGCCAGGATGCCTCCTTGGCGGCAGGGTGAGCTGTGGGGGGGCAGATGGGGTGCGCAGCTTGGCAGCGATCAGCAGTGCTTGTGGTCATGGCGGCGAGAGGTCAGTCACCCCATCACCCCACGCTGCCCCCTGATCCCTTTGCCACCACCCCTGCGCCTGCAGCAGCCAGGCGCGGCGCGGCGTGCGGCAGCAGCGGCCCCGCGTGGAGCCTCTCTACGCCGAGATCGGTGCGCCGCACCCGCTCCTGCCGCTGTGGGCCGTTGCCTGCTCGCGCGGCGGCTGCCGCAGTCCAGCTGGAAGGCGCTGGCGCCGGTGCTGCCCGCGGTTGGGGCACCCACCCCGCCTGCTGCTGCGCCAGCACAGCCACAGCAGCCTGCCCGTGCTGCCGCTCCGTTTGCGGCGTCCCGCTGCCCCCTCAGTCCCACCGCCAGTTCCCTGCTCCATCCTATGACCCCTCTATCCTCCTGTCCCTCCCCCTCTTGACCTTTGCAGAGGAGGCGACGGCAGCTGTGATGCGGCGCGCCCGTACCGCGCCCACCGCGCTGGGCAGTACCGGATCTGTGCCCGCGCTGGACCAGCTTCCCATGGAGCTGCCGCCGCTGGACCTCCCCACCTTTGCCTCCATGCCCCCCATGCCCCTGCCGGCCCCCGCCGGCATGCTGGCCGGCGCGGTGGGCCCCGCGGCGCTGCCTCCGTCCCTCATCGGCGGCTCAGCGGGCGCCATGCAGGCCGCGGCAGCGCTGGCGGCCGCCGACAGCGTGGCGGCGGCGGCGGCGGCGGCCGCGGGGCTGACACCCGCCACCACGCCGCACGCCGCCAGCTCCGCCACCGCGGCGAGCGCCAGCGCATTCTCCGCCCCCTTTGGCGCCGCCCCGGGGACTGACATGGCTGGGCTGGGGCTGGGGCTGGGCAGCACGCTGGGAGGGCGGAAGAGCGGGGACGGCGACCTGGATTCCCGCTTCTGCCAGGCGGTGCGCCTGTTTGGGCGGGACCTGAAGGTGGGCGGCGGCGCCAGCATGGCGGCGCCAGCGTGGCAGCGCCAGCGTGGCGACGCTCCCCCGCTTCGGCCTAGGTTTGGGTGCACGACGCAAGGGGGCAGGCACGGCCTGGCTGGCTGGCTGCCTGCGGCCGCCTGCTTGGGCGCCTGCGCGCCACGTTTGCTGACGGCACGCCGCCTGACGCCTCGCGGCGCGCGCCTCCCGTTGCTTTGACGCAGGCCATTTCCCAGTTTGTGGGCAACAAGACCGTGGCCGCCTGCCGCCTGTACTGGAGCCGACACCGGGAGCGGCTGGGGCTGGATGGCATCATGGCTGAGCGGGCGGCGGCGGGGCTCGGCGAGGAGGGGGCGGGCGGCGGCGCCACGGCGGCCGCCGCGGGCCTGCCCAGCCTCCAGGCCTGGGCGCCGCTGCTGGACCAGCTGCACCGGCAGGAGCAGGAGGCGGCGCTGCAGGCGGCTGCGCTGGCGGCGGCCGCCGCGGTGCTGGGCACGCCGGGGGAGCCAAACTGGGGCGGCGCCGTCGCCTCAGCTGCCTGCGCGGCGGTGATTGCCGCCGTGGACGGCCCCCCCGCGCCGCCCGCCAGCCTGCTGCCGCCAGACGCAGAGGCAGCCGCCAGCCTGCTGCCGCCAGACGCAGAGGCAGCCGCCAGCCTGGCACCAGGCGACAAGGCCGCGGGCGTTGCGCCCGCGGCGGAGGCGGGGCTCGCGGCGGGCGCCCCGCGCGGCGCCGCGGCAGGCGGGCCGGCGCGGCAGGAGGCGGCCCAGCCGCTGCCCGAGGCGGCTGGCGCTGCTGCCGCCACCCTGCTGCCGCGGGAGGAGCTGGAGAAGCTGCAGCTGCTGCTCCAGCCAGGTATGTGCCCGTCTCCGCCCCCGCTGCCGCTCCTGGCTGGGTTCCCTTACGATGCTGCTCTCCCTGCTCATTGCTGCTCTCCCGTGTGCCTTCTTTGCGTCTTGTCCGGAGTCGCCGACAACCCATCCCGCCTGTCGACCTGGCCTGCCTGCTGGCCCCGCCCCTGCGCAGGCGGCCTGCTGTTTGAGTTTGCGGGCAGCCCGCAGCGGGCGGAGGAGCTGCGGGAGTTGCTGCGGGACCCTGCACAGCTGGTACAGCACCCGGGGCACATGCAGCAGCTGATGGGGATGGTGGGAGCTGCCAAGAAGTTGCTGGTCACGCACGGTCCCGCAGACCTGGCCTCCACGCCGCCGCTGCCCACCGCCGCCGCCCAGCCGCTGGCGCCGCTGCCCGCGGCGGCGGCGGCGACGGCGGTGCCGGCCGCGCGGCCCGCGGCCGGCGGCGCCTTCCACCTGCTGCCGCCCGCCCAGCTGCCACCGCCGATGCCGGTGCCGCAGCCGCAGGCGCAGGGGCGGCGCGGCGGAGGGCGCAAACGCAAAGGTGGGTGTGGCGGGCGGGCGGCCTCGCTTCGGCGCTTTCTTATGCTTGCTTGCTTGCGGTACTTGTACGCACCGTAATGTAGGCTTGGTGGGAGGGTTGGAAGCCTGATTGTGGGGCAGCGCCTCACCCCTGCCGCTGCTCCCTGGCGCAGCCGACGGCGAGGGCGGCAGCCGCGGCGGCAGGGCCGGCACCTCCGCCAAGCACGCGTCCGGCGCCGTGCCGGGCGGCGCGGCGGCGGGCGCCGGCGCCGCCGGCCTGCCGCCGCACCTGGCCCTCTTTGGCCTGCCCCAGCTGCAGGGCCAGCAGCAGCAGCAGCAACAGTATGTGGCTGCCGCAGTGGAATGGATGCAGCGCTACCAGCAGCAGATGGCGGAGCTGCTCACCAATCCAGCGCAGGCGGCGCTGGCGGCGGCCGCCGCGCCACAGCTGCAGCAGGCGCAGCAGCAGCAGCAGATGGCGGCCGTGTATTCGATGTTTGGCCTGCAGCCGTCGGCGGCAGTGGCGGCAGCGGCGTCTCAACAGCAGCAGCCCGGTGCGGGCGGCGCGGCGGCGGCTGCCAGCCCCGCGGGTGCGCCGCCGCCGCCTGGCTTGCTGCAAGCGCAGCTGGAGCAGCAGCAGGCGGCGGCCGCGGCGGCCGCGCCGCCGGCCGGCCTGGCCGCCGTGCTGCTGCAGGCGCAGGCGGCGGCGGCGGCGCAGGCGGCGCAGCAGCGCGCGGCGGGCGGCCAGGCCGCGGCCACCTTCCTGCCCGCCGCGGCCGCCGCCGGCATGGAGCAGCTGCAGCGCTTGGTGCAGCACAACCCCGCACTGGCGGCGCTGGCGCAGCGCGGTCCCGCAGCTGCCATGCAGCTTCAGGCCATGCTGCAGCTCCACCACTTCCAGCAGCAGGCGGCGGCGCAGCAGCAGGCAGCCGCCCTGCCGCCCGCGCTGCTGCAGTCCCTCCACCAAGGCTTGCAGCAGGGGCTGGCTCGCCCGACCGGCCTGCCCGTCCTGGCCGGGGCCGCGACGTCCCCGCTGCTGATGCAGCAGCAGCAGCCGGGCAGCCCGCCGCTGCACGGGGCCGCCGCGTTGCTGCAGAGCGCGCTGCAGCAGCAGGCGGCGGCTGCAGCCGGCGCAATGGCGGCGGCGGCGGCGGGAGCCTCCCCGCAGAAGCAGCAGGAGCAGCAGGCGGCAGGCAAGCTTGAGAGCCCGCGCACCCTGCTTCTGCGGGCGGAAGCCGCAGCGCTGGCAGCGGCGCAGCAGCAGCCGCCACCGCAGCAGCAGGAGGTCAAGGCGGCACCGCCTCCTGCGGCCGATGGCGCTGACGCCAGCACGCCTGCTGCCCAGGCAGCCGCGCAGCCGCAGCAGGACGCGGCGGTGGAGCCGGCCGCGCCGCAGGCTGCCCCGCAGCAGCAGCAGCAGGTTCTGCAGCCCACAGCAGCGCTTGAGGTTCCGCAGCGTAAAGAAGACACTGAGATGCCCGATGCGCCTCCCGCAGAGCCTGCCGCCCTGCCTCCGGCACCCGCTGCGGAGGCGCCGCATCCCGACGCAGACACCACAGCTGCGGCCGCAGCAACTGCAGGGGCGCCCGCAGCGCCGGAGCCGGCGCCAATACCGCCTGCGCCTGCGCCTGCTGCTGCTGTCAGTGTAACAGCACCGGCGCTGGAGCCTCCAGCAGCACAGCCGTCGATGGAGCCAGCAGCTGCAACGCCCGCAATAGAGCCTCCAGCTGCAGAACCCGCACAGGAGCCAATCACCGCAGCAATGGCAGTAGAGCCAGCTACAGAGCCTGCTGCGGACCCAGCAGCAGCAGCAGCGGCAGCAGCAGCAGCAGCAGCCGCCGCAGCAGCAGCAGCAGCGGCGGCAGCAGCAGCCGCGGCAGCAGCGGTGGCCGCGCCCGAGCCGGCAGCAGCACCAGCAGTACCGCCCGTCGCGGTGGCCGCCGCCCCGCCGCCTGCGGCAGACGCAGACATGCCTGACGCAGCTGCGCCGCCGCCAGCGGCTGCCGAGATGCAGCCGCTTGGGCCCAGCTCTGTGGCGCCAGCTGGGCCCCGTACCGACTAGACACGCAGCGACAGTGCCCCTCAACGTCTCAGCGCCGCCTGCCCACCGGCCGACCGACTTCATGACTCGCTTTGCTTGCTTCCCCTGCTTTCCCGTGGGCCCACCGCCCTTGACGCGTTCGTACCACACCCATTTTTCACCCCGTAGAACCAAAACTTCTCTTCTGGACACCTGGCTGCTTTTCCCAGCGCCGGTGTAAGACCCTTCTCTGCCGTTTGGTTTATTGGCTGGTTACACAGGGAGGCGGTAAGTGCAGTCAGGTGCAGTGCCGAGTGCTCAGTCTCGCCGCGTGCGCCGCCGCCGCGTCGCCCGCTCGCCCCCGCCGCTGCTGTCGGCTGCGGGTGCCGCCGCATCGCGCTGCCGCCGCTCTGCCGCCGCCGCCGCGTTCTCGGCACGCAGCTGGCGCACATAGAACAGGGTGGTCTTGCCCACGAAGATCAGCCTGTGTAGGCGCAGCAGAGGGGGTTCGCTGGAGCGGACAGCCAACCAGCCGTGCAGACAGCCGTGCAGCCTCAACGGCACCAAGCCAACATGCTGGGAAAAGGCGTCTGCTCGCCACCAACGTACACGCACCACACCATGCAACACCCTATGCACACCACCTCCGTGCAGCACAGTGCAGCTGCCGCTAACTGCCGCGGCGGGGCGCGCACCAGAAGAGGAGCAGCAGCTGCAGGAACTGCTGCCACTGCGGATCCCGCACGGCGCCCAGGGCGAGGGTGATGAACCAGCCGGGGCCGCTGGCGGCGCCCAGGCCCAAGGCTATCCTGCCGCCCACGCTGTCAAACGGGCTGCAGGGCACAGGCGGGAGGGCGGCGGCAACGGCGGGCGCGTGGGCTGGCGCGTTGGCAGGCGCCTTCGGAAGCAACGTCGGCTGCTTCAATGGCTCGGGGCCAGCATCAAATACCGAACAGCTGCAGCAATGAGCAGCCTCATTCGCGGGCGCCGAGGGAGCGCCCATCAGCTGGCAGCTGGGCTGCAATGGGCCACCCAGCAGCAGCACTCACTACATAGCGCCGAGGGAGTGGCGGGCTGTGCAGGGAGCGTGTGGGGCGGGAGGCGGTCGACCAACGAGAAGCCGTCCGTTGGCGTTGGAGCACGACAGCAAGAGGGCACGCAGCAGCACAGATCGCACAGGGGACAGGGCGCCTGGGCACCAGGTGCTTGCATCCGTGCACGGCCCGGCGGCGCGCCCGCTGGCGGTGACGTCATGCCACCCAGCTGCACGGGGCAGGCGAGCTGCCGACGCCACAGAGCTGCAGGATGTTACGGTGATGTAGCCCGATGGTTGCGGGATGGATGTCCCTCGTGATCTCGTCTTGGCAGCAGGCAAGGCAGCGGAAGGGCGAGCAAGGTGTGGCGTGCTCGCCTGGCTGGCCGCCCGCAGGCAGGAGGCGCAGCAGGGAGCTCGACTGCACCTCCTGTTGCACTGATCGTGATACATTTATTGGGAACCCAATTAGTCTGGGGGCGTGGCGGGGAAGACAGGCCTGCGTGGGCCGTCCTGAATGCAGCCCACCTGACCCTGCCTGACGACAACTGGCGGCGCCAGCCTGGCAAAACGTGTTGATGATGAGGCAGCGCTATAAAAGCCACCAGCCCACCAATCCGTGGCATTCCTATCATCAGTTACCCCCTCCACGCCTGTTCGGGGCTCCCTGCTGGTGATCAGCACCTTCCCCCACACCTCGATCAGCCAACCATGCGTGCCCTGGCCCTCCTCCTCCTGCTGGCCGCGGCTGCCGCGGTTCAGGCTGATCACAAATGCCCTCCTGGCTTCCGCCAGGCCTCTGCTGCTCTGCGCAGGAGCCTGCGTGCCATCGGCCTGCAGAGCTTCTTGACTCACGGCCAAGAGGTCTGCAACCATCTGCCCGCCCTGATCACCGAGCCTGACGCGTTTGGCATCGGTGAGCGCCTTGGGCCGATGGCAGCGCCTGTCGTGGCTCTGGCGGCAGGATGATCCGCCCTGCTGCCCTGCAATTGCCAAGCTTGTCGCCGCCCCCTCCCGCCCTGCCATGGCCCGCTACCGCCGCCCCCTCCTGCCCTCTGGGCCGCGTCCCGCCTCCGCCCAGCTCACCACGCCACCTCATCAACGGCCCCGCTTCCTTCCCCCGGCCTGCCCATGCCACAGACGTGGAGACTGTCTGCGCCACCCGCTCGAGCGACGCCGCCGTCTTCCGCGTCTCGTTCAACAGCCCCTGCAAGGGCGGCGCATCTGACACCACCTACATGACCGTGGACACCACCCCCAAGAAGTGCCGCAAGGCGTACGACCCCAAGCTGGCAAAGTGGTGAGCAGGAGGGAGGGGAGGCGTGGAGGCGGAGCCAGCGGGGCGGTGTGGCAGCGCAGCCTTTGCTTTCTTCGGTGCAGGCCGCCGCCTCAGCCTGACACCACTGTCGCCTCAGCCTGACACCACACCAATTCGCCCGTCGGCCTGCCCACCTTCCACGCAGGGGCTGGCACACCACCACCCCGGGCAACATGCGCCCGCTGCAGTGCCCCGCCGGCTACCGCAAGGCCACCCGCAAGGACCAGGACCTGCTCACCGCCTTCCTGCTCAAGCAGTTCGCCGAGGTGAGGGGCAGCCCTAGCTGCGTCCGCGCCCGCCTCCCGCTGGCGCAGGCCGGCAGCTGCACCTCGCCTCTATCCACACCATGCCTGTCTTGGCTCGCCCACCACCTTCAAGGGGTCTGCTCTCCCATCTCGCACCCCACCCACCCTGCGTCACCGCCTCGCAGCCGCCCACCGTCGGCGGTGGAGCGTGCGCTGGTGGCACCCTTGCCCCTGTCTGCTCATCTTCTTGTGCCGGCATGCGCCTGCCGTGCAGGTGGAGATGCCGCACCGCCTGAAGGGCAAGTACCACTGCCAGGGCGGTATCCAGGAGATGCGCTTCTGGTACCTCAACGGCTGCATCCAGACCTGGCCCAAGGTGTGTGCGTGTGTGCATGTGTGTGGGGGAAGGGGAATGCCTTGCCGGCAGGCCTGGGACAGCCATGCGGAGGTGGGGAGGCAGCAGGGTGCATCAGTGCATGCGGCAGCGCCGCGCCGCTGCCCCGCGCTCAGCCCATCACCTCACTGGCACCTTGCCGGGGGCTGCCTGTTGTTGCGGGCCCCTTTCTACTGGAAACCTGCGACTCTTTTTTTTCCCTCTTCACTATTCCCTACCTCCTTCCCTTCCGCAGGGCGTGGCCCCCTACGTGATGGCCCAGGGCAAGATCGACTACTCCTGCTATGGCTCCCACAGGACCCTCAAGCTGGGTGAGGCTCCTGCAGCAGAGAGGGTGCAGCAGGCTAGCCTCCTCCAGCGCGGCAGGTGCAGAGCAGGAAGAAGCCAGCAGCGGAGCTTGCCAGCAGCAGCAGCAGCAGGCTGGGGTGGGTGTTCAGCGTGGGGGGAGCCGAGGGCCCGGGGGCACCCGCCCGCCCGCACCGCCCGCAGCGCCAGCTGGCAAGCTGCCCGCTAAACCGCCGCCGCTGCCCCTCTGACCTGCAGGCCTGGACGGTGAGGGCACCTACAAGACCCTGTGCGAGTGGAAGGTGGCCTTCGACAACTGATGCACGGCAGGGGCCCGCCGCCGGCTGCCGCCGCCAACTGCTGGCCGCTTTGCGGCTAGCCGCTAGGCTACTCATCTCAAACCCAACCCCCAAAAACAATCACAATAAATTGAAATGCCATCCACTAGGCTTACGATTCGTTAGGACACCCGGCTAGGAACCAGAACCAAGTTTTCTGACCCCCCAGCATCGCCAGTACCGCTAGGCAGCTACCTCACCAGGCAGTTAGTCCGCCGCACACCCTGCCCACTGTTTTCATCAGTCCACTGGGCCCTACAGCATGTGATAGGATGTATGCACTTAGCTTTCTCGTAGCCAGGCACCACTAGGCTTTTCTGCATTTCTTTTAGGCTCTCTTCTTTTAGGCTCTCTTTCAACGCCGCCAGTAGTGGCGCTCTAGTCAGCTAGGCGGATCCCCCCTCCCGCTCCGGTAGGTGCCAGCAGACTGGTCCCTCGTCCCATTTTCCATATTCTCTCTCTCCACTCTGAAATGTTAAACCCTAAATCAAAAACAGTTTCTCTGCCCAGCACTTTGCTGGAACTCAAAAGTGTCCCTCTTCCTGCTGTCTCTTCGCTGGCGGCACACCACCGCCGTCCCGCCTTCCCCACATGGGGCTGCATCCCTGCAGCCAGCGCAATTGCGCGGGCAACTTTTCAACTTGATGTTGGCTTCCCTCTGCTGGCTTGGCGTTGGTGCCACATGCCTGCGCACCGCGCACCCGTCAATGCGCCCACGTGCTGGACCTCCACCCAGCGTGCTGCACCTGCCCGCCTTCAACTACCTAGCACCGGCTGGGCACGGTCGCTCCTCTGGATGTGCCTCAGGCACTCTCAGGCCCCCCTCATCCCGCTTTTCTGACCCCCTGACCCCCAGCGCCTTTCGACAGCGTTGGGTGCCCTGCAAAGGGTGCCCGCTGCCTAACGTCGGCGCTCGCTGCCATTCAGCGTCTCATGTGCCCCCCCCCCCCCCCCCCCCCCCCCCCGCTTGTCATCTGTGTGTAAGATGTGTGTAAGATGTGTCTGTGAGATCTTCCGATAGCAAGCTGTGTGAGGCGGTGCAAGCTGTGTGAGGCGGTGCTGCACAGCGGATTGGCTGTGAATGGCGCAGCGGGCTGTCTCCCGGCACCGCCAAGCAGGAAGATTCGGGCAGGCACTATCTCATAGTTCGTCCTTTGGTCGCGCTTAGCCCTCAGAGTTATTTTACCATTGCCCCCGCATCTCCAGCCATAGCCGGGAGCCGAGGCAACATGTTGTGCCACCCGTGTGCTGGCAACCCGCGCCAGCTGGGCGGCGGCGGGTGAGGCGACAACTGGTCAGCGGCCGGCAGACCAGCGGCAGGCATACTCACGAAATCGCCGCCTTTGTTTGACTCCACAAGCGTCGCGGTGGGCAGTTGAACTGGCCTGGGCTCGTCCCGGCGCCACCAACCTGCGCAGGCGCTCTGGAGGCGCTCCTCAATCGCTCTCATGTTGTTACACACGTCTATATCTTGGCTAGGACCCTGCCGCGATGCTGGATCAGGCGGTGGTGGTGACCCGCTGTCGGCAACCGCACGCCCTCCTCGCGCCAGGCGGCGGCGAGTGCCTGCCAGGGCCTCAAGCCAGGCAACACTTGATGTGTCATTGGGGGTAGAACCCGGAGGGCAGCAGCAGCGGCAGCAGCAGCTCTTGAGGTCAGTCCCCTGGGCTCCCTTCGGCTGGCTGCCTGCTCTCCTCCCAGCATCCTGCCCAGACCGAGCCTGCTTGCCTTGCCCCGATGTGAGCATCACCAACTGTCCCTCCTCTGCTGGCTTTGTGTTGCAGGGTGCTGGCTGTCACAGACCTGCACGTGGATTACGCCGAAAACATGGCCTGGTGCGAGCGCCTGGACGGCCAGGCTTTCAGGTGGGCAGCATGCATGCTGCTGATCCAGGCGCCGATTCTCGTCGCTGCTGCGCTGCCTGCCCACTGCTGCCTGCCCACTGCTGCCCAGCCTGCTGCCTGCCGTGCCGCCTGGCTCCAAAGCATGCATGGTGCTGCTTGCCTTGCGCCGCACACCCTCGCCCGCTTGGCCTGTCATGTGTCGCGTGCTGGCTTGCCTTGCCCCGTGCTGTGCTGGCCGCCGTGCAGGCACGATGTGCTGGCTGTGTCTGGCGATGTGTCTGATGAGCTGGGGGCGCTGGAGCAGGCTCTGGGCTGCCTGGCCTCCAAATTCGCCGCCGTCTTCTACACCCCCGGCAACCACGAGCTGTGGATACGGGAGAAGGACCGGTGGGTGGGCGCATCGCTTTGGGTCAGCAGCAGCACGGGCAGCAGCAGCGGCAGCGGCAGGGGCAGGGGCAGGAGCAGGGGCAGGGCAGGGGGCTTGAGGCGGGCTGTTTGGGGGCTGGGGACGGAGGGGAGCTTGGCTGCCCCGCACCCACGAGGCATGCCATACCATGCCCTGCCACGGTGCAGCGCCAGCGGCCTGATGGATTCCCGGGCCAAGCTGGCGCGGGTGCTGGAGCTGTGCCAGCGCCTGGGGGTGCACACGCAGCCGCGCCGCCTGGGCAACCTGTGGCTGGCGCCGCTGTTCAGGTGCTGCTGGCCGGCCGCGCCGCCCTGCCACCAGCAAACTGGCCCTGCTTGTGCATGGCTGGCTGGGAGCCTGCATTCGCCAGTCCCGCCTGCTGTTGCCCATGCGTGCCTCCTTGTCTGCTCCCGCATCCAGCCCTGCCTGCCTTCCTGGCCTGACCCCTCCCTGCCCCTGCCTCCAACTCCCTAAACCGCCCGCAGCTGGCATCACAAGAGCTTCGACTGCGAGCCAGACATCCCAGGGGTGCCCCCCGCCTCAGCTTGGACCATCGCCGACTATGGAGCCTGCCGCTGGCCGCGCAGCGTGCCTGGTGGGTGGGCTGCCGCAACGCTGTGCTTCTACGCCGATGGGCCGCGCCGCGCTGCGCTGTGGCAGCCGCCTTTGGCCGTGTGGGGCGACGGGCGCGCAGCCGTCACGCCAGGTGGCGCTGCCCAGCCCTTGGGCATCGCTCCGCTGGCGCCGCTCAGCAGCCTGGCACGGACCCCTGCCTGCCTGCATGGCTGCCTGCTGGCGTGCCACGCTGCAGGCGGCGACAGTGCGGGGTCTGTGGAGCTGGCGCGGTGGTTTGACGGCATGAACGACACGCCCGCCTGGCGCCAGCTCATCGCCACGCGGCACCAGTGCGACGTCATCGCCCTCGCCCACTTCCTGCCGCACCAGGCAAGGTGGTACTCAACCTTATCGTCGGACTGAAGAGACGATTCACTGGATCGTCTGTGGAGAGGTTATTCAGCGAATCGTCTCTTCTACAGACAATATTCAGTGAATTGCCTCTTCTACAGACAATCCAGTGAATGAGTTAGGCGATAGAGGCGTCGGGCAGGCGCCCTCCGCTGTGCATCTCGCTCGTGCCGGCGCGGCACACACCGCCGCCCGTGCCCCCAGCATCACCCGTCTGGCGCCATGCCCCGCACGCTCAGCGTCATACGCCCCCCTCTCTGCCCGCAGGCTCTGCTGCCCGAGAAGCGCTACCTGTATTACCCAGGTAATGCACAGCATTCACAGCAGCACCAGCACCTGTAATCGGGGCATGCCGTTGGTTGCATGCGCATGAGGCATGCGGCGCCGGGCACACAAGGGCCGGGTGCGCCCACGGGAGCAGCAGGCAGCGTTGCAGGGTGGCAGCACCCCGCCGCCGCCGCCGCTGCCATGCAACCCGCCGTGTGCCCGCCTCGCAGGCCTGGCCAAGGCGGTTGGCTCGGCGCCGCTGGCGGCGCGCCTGGCGGCGCTTCGACCGGACCTGTGCCTGGTGGGGCACACACACTTTGGCTGGGATGCCGAGGTGGAAGGCGTGCGGTACATCCAGGCGCCGCTGTGTTCCCCGCTGGAGCGCCGCCGCCGCCTGGCGACGGTGGGCTTTGGGGCCAGCATGGCGGCGGCGAGGGAGGACCCGGTAGCCGCCCGCTGGCTACCGCTGGAGGTGTACAAGGGGCTGGTGCCGGCAGGGGCGGCGGCGGCGGCAGCAGCAAATGGGGGTGCGGCGGTAGCGGCGGCGGAGATGGCGGCAGGCGACGGCGCGGCGGCGGATGTCGCGCCGCAGGTGGGCGCGCAGCAGCAGCAGCCCCTCGCAGGCTTGCAGCAGCAGCAGCAGCAGCAGCAGCATCCCACCCCAGGCTTGCAGCAGCCGCAGCAGCGCCCGCAGGGCGCCTGGGCGGCGCAAGGCTGGCAGCCGCTGCGGCACGGGGCGATGGCGCCTCCCCTGCGGGCCCAGTGGAGCGACCACTATGCCCAGACTGTGCGGAGGCCAGATGATGTGGCGATGGCGCCTTGGGTGGCCAAGCTGTATGAGCGGCGGCAGCGGGCGGCCGGCGGCGGCGCCAGCGGCGGCGAGTCCAACGGCGGCTGAGCTGGCGCCCCGCGGCTGCGAGCCCGCTGGGCTTCCTTCCGACAATTGGACCTGGAGGCACCGTGTAACCTTAGCGGTGTTTGATGTACCAGGGCTGTTTCAGTGGATCTGGCCACGCGGGGCCCCCATCAACTGGCCAGCGCAGTGGCGTGTGGCGACAGCCGGCAGCCCCTCACAGGCAGCTCCTTGCATCTTGCATCACCATGGCTCAAAGACAGCGCCCGGCAGGCCGCCGCCCGCTGGCGGGCATCAACCGTGCGTGCGTCTGTGCTCATTTACATGCACGGAGGCAGGCGGGTGAAAATTGCAGGGAGGCAAGGGGAGGGTTATGGGAGCGAAAGGGGGAGACGAGGCGGCGACCGGGCTGGTGCAGGGCCGTGGCTACAGGGCCGTGTGCCTTCAAGAGGCGCCGTACTCAGGCACGGGCCCTGATCTCGTTCTTCAGAGGGCGGATGTTGAGCTCTGCCAGTAGCTGCTCATACTTGGGCCGGTCGGTGCGCTGCAGGGCAGGCATGCGTGAGGGGCGGCGGGAGCGTGAGGGGCGGGGCAGCCACCAGCAAACGGCAGGCGCAGTGGCAGCCGGGCATGGGGGGTGAGCAGCCGGCGCGGCTGGCGGCGCGCGGGCATGCGGCCAGCTCCCCACCGCTGCCCTTCCGCATGTCCATCCGGCAGCACAACAGCGCAGCGCAGAATTGCGGGCAGTAGGCAGTCTCAACGCGAAACGCAAAACAGGCAACACTGCTCATCCCTGGCTCGTGCGGCAGCACCAGCAGCGGGCTGCGGCCCCCACCTGCAGGTAAAGCAGCATCTGCTTGCGCTTGCTGAGCACGGTGAGCAGGCCGCGGCGCGTGGAGAAGTCCTTCTTGTGCTCCGCCAGGTGCTCCGTCAGCTGGAGCACGCGGGCAGACAGCCGCGCAATCTGCACCTCCGCGCTGCCGCTGTCGCTGTCGTGGCGCTTGTACTGCGGCACCTTGGACAGGTCGGTGCCCTGGCCGCGGTACCGCGCGCTGCGGCAGCGAGGAAGCAAGGCGGGGGGAGGGCGGAGGCGGGTTGGCATGGGGAACTGCCGGTTCTAAATGCAGCTTCTGCTGGGCTGGTAAACCCGTGCATGGCTGGCAGAATTGCTCCCGTGGTCGAAGGGTTAAACGCATGCATGCAAGCATGCACTGGATTCGGGGCACAGCCAGGCGAGGCAGCGGGCGGGCGGCAAGGGCGGTGGGCGGCGCGGCGGCGGCACCTGACTGCAAAGGCTGCTGCGGGGCGGGCTGCGGGCTGCGGCTTGGCGGTCAGCTTGGCGCCCATGAAGGCTGCAGGGGCAGGCAGGGAGCAGGGGTGAGGCGCGCTGGTGTGGCATGGGCTCCCCGCCCGCTCCCACCAGGCTGCGGGGCAATGTGCGTGCCGGATGGCGCCCTGCCCACAAATGCAGCGTTTCCCACCTGGCCGCATCTGCAGAGCGGCGCCCATGGCCATGCTTGCTGCTGGCGGGGTGTGTTGGGGTGGGAGCGGCTGCGCTGCTGGACCCCGGGCCAGTCTCCCTGTCGTCAGCTGAGCACAGCAAAAATGCGGCGGCAGGCGGGCATGCGTGCGGGCATTCGCCGCGACATCGTGCTGACCCTGGCCTCCAACCCCGCTGAGTGGCACATGCAAGGTGCCCTCCACCCGCCGCAACTCCTGTTGTGTTGGACCAGTCCAGGGAACCCGCAGCGACGCGATGGCAGCGGTGGCAGGCACCATGCAGGCGCCCTGCCTTGCGCAGCAGCGGAGCAGCGTGGTGAGGCGCTGTGCTGGGCTGGGGCGCCTGTGTTGCGAATCAGGCATATGTGCAGGCTCATGAACGGCCCGGTGGCCCCCGCTGCAGGGCAAGAGCTTCTGCGGCAGCAAGCTGGTGCCCGTCCGGCCTCAGCGGGCCGTGGCGCGGCAGCAGGCGGGCATTGTGTGCGCAGGTGAGGGTGCCGAGCGCGGCGCGGTGGCCAATGCGTGGTCCATTGACGGCGACGCAGGCCTGCCGCCGCTCGAGGCGAGGCGGTCTTGCGACAGGCGCTCACCGTCCTCTGGTGCTTGCTGGCTGCAGCGGCTGCGGTGGAGATCAAGAGCATGGGGGCAGACAAGTGGAACGACACTTACTACCCCACCGCCTCTGACGCCGCCAACGTGCACAAGCAGTGGTGAGCCGCCGCCGCCGCCGCCGCTGCGGGCCGACCACCGCGTAGTGCACCGCCGGCCGCGCATGCCGCCGCCTGCTGCGCTGTGCGTGCTGGGCCCGCCTGCGCGGGTGCCGCGTCAGTGCTGCGGGTGCGGGCTGCAGCAGCAGGCGGCAGGCTGGCACGGGATGGTGGCTATGCAGCCATGCAGCTTGTTGGCGGGCTAGCCGGCACCTGCGGGCATGCTGTCGCGAGGGTGGTGTGCACCTCGCCATGCGCGGCAGCAACACACTTGACCTAAACGTTCTGGACAGGAGCCTGCAAAGGGCGGCAGCCATTGACCACAGCCAGGCCGCGGCAGCGCACGGCGCCGCTGCCGCCACCAGCCCGGGCCGGCCTCCATCGGCTCCCCTCCTCCTTCGCTCCCTCCCCTGCCCTCGCCGCGGCCCATATGCTAACCAGCGCCCCATCCCACCCCGTGTACCTCCCTGCCCGCAGGTACATCATCGATGCAGAGGGCCAGACCCTGGGGCGTGTGGCCTCACTGGCCGCCTTCTACATCCGCGGCAAGCACATGCCCAGCTACTCGCCATCCATGAACATGGGCGGCTATGGTGAGCCGGCTGCCCGGCAGCTGCCCGGCAGCTGCGGCCGGACGCGCACGCCAGTCGCCCCGCAGGACCTCCGCTGCCCGACTGCGCCTGCCGCTCCGCTGCCCGCCCAGCGCCTGCCCCGCTCTGCCCGCCCACCCCCCCGGCCCCGCCCTTGCCCCGCGCAGTGGTGATTATCAACGCCGACAAGGTGTCGGTGACGGGGCGCAAGGAGACTGACAAGACGTACTTCCGCCACACCAACGGCCGCCCCGGCGGCTGGCGCGTGGAGACGCTGCGCGACCTGCGGCAAGTGAGTGGCACCGATCTGCTTGCCGTCTGGGCCCCGATCCATTCTCGGGAGGTGCCAGGCGCACGAGGGATGCCTGTCCGCGAAGCGTGCAGCCCAGCATAGCGCGCCAGCCCGTCCACTTCCTCCTCCACCACACCACTCCAATGCCGCCTCCTGCCGCTCACTACGCGCCTCCCTCGCCTCCCCTGCCCTGCCCTGCCCTGCCATGCCCTGCCCTCCCCGCAGCGCCTGCCCGAGCGCATTCTGGAGAAGTGTGTGAAGGGGATGCTGCCCAAGGGGCGCATCGCCAGCCCGCTGTTCAACCACCTCAAGGTGTACAAGGGCACGGCGCACCCTCATGAGGCGCAGCGCCCGCTGGACATCACCTCCCGCATCAGCAAGAAGGCCTCGGAGGCGCTCTGAGCGGGGCCGGCGGCTCGGCCCGCCCCCGAGGCGCGCCCGCCGGCGGCCTTCGCTTTGCAGTTTTCCCTTTGCTAAATGCTCTCTGCAAGGTTCCAGCACTTACACTTCGTTTGTAACAAAATTGGAGGAGGCGGGGGGGCAGGCGTTTGTTGTTGGCTGGGGTACAGAGGTGCGGCGAAAACGGGGACAAACAAAGTGGGCTGGAGGCGAATGAAACATCGACGGGAACAGGATTGGGGTGGGCTGGAAAAAGAAGAGAGAACAAGAGAGAAGAAAGGACATTCAGAACATGTTGTGGGGGCCGGTAGCGCTGGCCGGCAGGCTGAACCAAAAATAAAAGACGTTCAGAGGAAGGAATGGGGAATGCGTTCGATTATTGGGGACCTGAGAGAAACGCGGCATTGCTGTTGCTTTTACTGTTGTTTGTTGTGATTGGATCCGAGAGTGGCGTGCATGCAATGAAAAGGAGGGCGACAAAACACACACGAAATAAAGCAAATGACGGCCGTCCGGCATTGGCGGTGGGGAGCAGACCCCAGGGGGGAGGTCAGGGGGTGTCGCCGCCAAAGCGCTGTGCATCGTTGCGGGCCACCGCCTGCCGCACCGCGGCGTCGGCGGCCTGCATGCGTGCCAGCCAGTCGCCGCTGCCGCCGGCGCCGCCGGCGGCTGCGCGGGGCCGCGGCGCGGGCTGCTGGCGCCTGAGGGCGGAGTCCCCCCGGGCGATGGCGGCGCGCATGCGATCGTCCTCTGGGTTGGCAGGTGCCTGCGAAGGCAGGGAGGGGAGGGAGCAGGGGAGCAGCGTGAGGGTCCCGACATCTTACGAGGCGGCGGGCGGTGGGAAGAGCGGGGTCAGGGGCGGCGCGACGGCTCAGACAGTGTTACCGTGCGCTGGAGGCATCAAACACACCTGGTAGGAAGGCAGAGGCGGCTGCTCGGCCTGCGGCGCCGCCGCCGGCGCCGCGCCCTCGCCGCTGCTCAGCAGCACCAGCTGGCCTGTGCCGTCTGGATTGAGGAGCAGGGCGGGGCCGCCGGCGGGGCTGGCCAGGCCGGCGGGACCCGGAAGCGGAGCCACGGGCGCCTCGCCGCCGCCGCCGCCGCTGCTGCTGCCGTACCGGGGGCGCTCCTGTGTGAGCACCATGCCTACCAGCGGGCAGCCCAGCTGCCGGCTGGCGCCTGCCGCCGCCTCTGCCAGCGTGCTGAGGCTGGCTGGCAGCAGCAGCACCATGCACGGGGCCTGAGAGGGGTCCAACGGCGCGGCGCCCTTGGCGCTGCCGCCGAAGAAGCTGCTGCCGGCGGCCAGCCGCAGCGGGGCCGCCGCCGCCGCCGCCTGCCTCTGCTGCTGCTGCGGGCAGACCGAGGAGGCTCGGGTGGAGGGCTCGGCGCGCCGCCCGCTGCGCGCGCGGCTGCCCGCCTGCTTGCTGTCGCCGCTGGGCAGGTAGACCTGGAGCGCGTCCGCCTGGCAGTAAGGGCACCGCGCGCCGGCGCTGTCTGCGACGATGTTGATGAAGCACTCGGTGCCTGCAGGCCAGCGGCGGGGCAAGGAGCGGGCACGGCATGAGGGGGAGGGAGCAGTCCAGGCAGCGGCGCAGGGCGTTCGGGGGCCTGGGGTGGCAGGGCGGCGCGAGCGGCGGCCGCGAGCACGGCGGGCAGCACAGCGCGGCTGCTCACATATGTCTTGGTGGCAGCAGGCGGTGTGGTTCAGCTTGCCGTAGCCCTCCATGCACACGGGGCACTCGCAGCCCTGCAGGGGAGGGGGGTATGCGGGGGGTGAGCCGCGAGGACAGGCAGACGTTCGGCGGCCGGTACGCGAGCGGCGGGCGGGGGGCGCAAAGCGGGAGAATGCGCACCTGGCCGTCGGCGATGGGCTGCCAGCAGGGAGCCAGGAGGTCGGTTTTGATGAGCTTTTTGACGCGTTTGAGCTCGCAGGAGCGCCGCGCGGTCTCAGAGCGCGGAACCAGGCCGCCGCTGCCAGCGCGCGTGAGGGAGCTTGGGGGCGCCTCCTCCTGCTGGTGGTGGGCCTTGGAGGCGTTGTGGCCCATGGTGGAGGTCGGTGGCGGGAGAGGAGCTGTGGTGGTGAGGCGGTGGGTGCGCCGGAGAGGAGGTGCGTTTGTGTGAAGCTGGTGGGATTGGGGAGCTAACACTGAACTTCAGGGGATTGAACGAAGGCCTTTGGAGCCCAATTCATGCTCATGAGGCTCCTGCTGCGGCTGCACCGATCTGCTGCTGCATCAGCTGCGACCCAAGGGAATCGATGGGGGGGGCGTAGTTTGGGGCCCATCGGCTTCCCTGATCAATAGCCCAATTGGTGGCAGGCTCCGGCACCCATGTGAGCCCTCCCCACTGTGCGCGCCGACATGAGCACCCTCACATGTGTCAATACGTCCCTCCTTCCGTACCCAGTTCTCCCTCACAGTTATCTCGTGCCGATTCTCCCGGAGTCTCCTGGAGTCTCTAAGCACCATAGAATGCGCTTAGAGGGCACCAGGCAGAAAGCGGGCATGACCGGAGGTGGTGCAAGGGAGGGGGGGCACAAGGCGCTGCTGGCGGCCGCCACCGGCTCCGCTCCTTCCCTGGGAGGCACTCAGGGGCCACCACGCAGCCCTCCCACCTCACAGCACAGCCCAGCACGCCCTGCGCCACCTGCCCCTGTGCCCCAAGAGCACATGCGCGGCGTTACAGGGCCGCCCCGCCGGCCCTACGGCCGCACCGACGGGCCAAGAGCGCTCAAAAGAGGCACACGCAGGCGGCCGCGGTGAGCGCCGCCGTCAGGCTGGCCGACGCCGCGTTGACGCCGTTGTTGTCCAGCAGGGGCCAGCCGCTGATGGGGCTGACTTCCGGGCCGGGGCGCCCCGTCAGCTTACCGCTGGCACGATTGTAGCCTGTGAACTGGACGGTGGCGCCCAGCAGCGAGTCGATGAGCGACCCGGCGCCGCCGGCCAGCAGGCCCGCCGCCAGCAGGCGCCACCACTGCGCCGCCGCTGCGCCGCCGCCGGCGGTGGAGCTGCGGCGGCCAGGGAGGGGGAGGGCAGGCGTCGGTGTGGGAAGGCAGAGAGGGGCGGTTGAGTGGGGCTCTGCCAGGGCGCCAGCAGGCGACCCACGTATCCCGCCCTGCTGCGACCTGCGTGCCCCGTGCCACCCAGCCCCTCCCGCGGGCCTCCTCGCCACTCCTGCCGCCACTCGTTCTGCCACTCCCTGCCATCCACCCGCACCTCACCTGCCCAGGGTGGCCAGCAGGAAGGTGAGTCCCATGGCCAAGCCTCCCGCCAGGCTGGCCGCCAGCCCGGCCAGCGTCACGCCCCCGTTGGTGCCCTTGCGCACCGGGCGCAGTGTGGTGATCAGGCGAGGCTCCTCGGGGCTGCACCCAGGCAGGCGGGCAAGGCGCCCCGGTGGGCCGCGGCAGCGGCAGCGGGCGCTAGGCGCGAGCGGCCTCGGCAGGGCGCACAACTCCGCCCCACCAGCGGCCACCAACAGCATGCGTTGAGTGCTGCTCCCGTGCCCGCCGCCCTCCCAGCCCTGCGCCCACCTCAGCTGCCCCAGCTCAGAGGCCCAGGTGTCGCCGCAGCAGCAGGCATAGTAGCCCAGGAAGGCGGCATTGAGGGCGGTGAGGAGGCGGGTGGCGCCGCCCGGCGCCGCCTGGCCGAGCGCCAGGTCGGCGCCGCCGCTGTGCCACGCCGCCGCCAGCGCCAGCCCCGTGGGCACCAGCGCGTTGCAGAACACCTGAGGGCAGCAGGGGGCAGGAGCCGGGGCTTCACGGTCGGCGCAGGTCACACCAACAACAGCAGCTGCAGCGGCAGCAGCAGCGTGCGGCAGGCGTGCTGCTGGGCAGCAGGTCGCGCGATAGCGCCGTGAGCCTCCTTGCCGCCCCCCACCTGCCGCCAGTCGCGCTGCCCGCCCTTCTTGTGCTCCTCATCCACGTCTTTGAGCTCCTCCCCCAGCTGCAGGCAAGGGGGTGGGGTGGGAAAGGAGGGCGAGGCAGGACTCCGCGTGAGTGCAGGCATGGGTGCATGAGAGCGGGCTCTTGGTGCGAAGGCTGCCTGCCTGCCTGGCTGCTGAGCGAGATGGACACACAAGGCACGGCAGCAACCAGCGGCAGCGGCAGCGGCAGCGGAACAGCGGCGTGCGGAACAGCGGCGGCGGGCGGCGGCACCTGGGTGAGCTTGCTGGAAGCAAAGAAGAAAATCAGCAGCAGCATGCCGCTGCGGAAGCTGGCGGCCAGGGTGCCCCACCCCACGAGCGCCGCCGCCACGGCGCCGGAGGCCGACAGCGAGGAGCGGCGCCAGCCGTAGGCCGCCACGCCCAGCCCCACCGCAGCGCTGCCCAGCAGCCGCGCGGCGGGACCCAGGGAGTGCATGGCGGCGCAGGCGGCGGCGAGGGCGGCCAGCTGGGCAGCGGGGCGCAGCGCGCCCAGCGTGCGCTCCCAGGCGCTGGGCAGCCGCGCCGAGGGCAGCGTGTGCAGCACCTGCGGGCGGCCACGGTGAAAGGGAGGGGGGGGAGAGGTTGCAAGCAGGCAGGCAGGCAGGCGGGCAGGCGTGCGGCTGCGTCGTTCCAAGCGCTGCACAACACGACAACACGCCTTGACGGCCGGAGCATAGCTGAGGGCGCGGCGGGTCTCCAGCGGAATAGGTGGAAAGTCCAGCCGCAGGGAGGCGCCACACCGGCGCCAGGCCGACGCCAGCCGGTGCCGCCGCCGCCTGCGGGCCTTACCTGCACATTCTGCTCAGCCTGCGCCAGTGCCGCCTGCACCTTCATCAGCGCCTCTTCCACCTTGGGATCCATGCCCTCGTCTGGGAGCCCCACCCTATCCACCCGCTCATACCGCACATCAATGGGCGGCGCCGCCTCCTCAAAACCGCCGCTGCCACCGCCCGCCGCCGGCGCCGCAGCGCCGGGAGCGGCGGCAGGGCAGGGCCGGTGCGAGAGCTGGCGGCGAGGCGGGTCTGGACGTGGGCGCCTGCTCAGGAAGGGGCTGGATGCTGTCCTGCTGCAGCGCCTGGGAATGCGCTGCAAAGTGTGGGGACAACGAGCAGAAGCTGCGTCGTTATCCCAAGCGCAGGCCGACGGGGTGGCGCCCGTCACCGCTGCTGAAAGTGGGCGCCCCCGGCATCGCCGGTCTCACCGCCCCGACAGCAGCGAGTGTCCCCTGCGTCGCTCCAAGCGTTGCTGGGGCCATAGCGAGCGCTGACAACCGGCAGAGTTGTCGGGTCGCTGCCACGGCTCTGGATGGTCCTTGGGCACTTCGAGGATGGATTGTGCAGTTCACAGGGAGCAGCGATCGCTGGCGATCGTTGGTGTTGTCTTCATCGCCAACTCTGCCGAGCTGGCAACCTGAGGAAGTTCATGCAGCGGTTCCACTTGCAGCCAAATTTGCAGATCGCGATCGGCAGACTGCGATCTTCAACTTGCCGGCGGCCCAGGCGCACTGCGCCTGCGCATAACAACTCCAAGCCGCTGTGGACGCAATAAAATGCAGTGCTGCGCTGGTTTGACTGCCCTGAGGCCGCTGGCACCACGCAGCACGGCGGCGCGACCAGCGGCAGCAGCCCAGGCGCCATGCAGGGCAATGGGCAGGTGGGGCTTTGCGACCTGACTGGAGAAGAGGGCATTTGCGGCCCTCAGCCCGCCTGTGCAATGCCTGAAATGGAGATGTGCATGCATGTGTGCCGCGCTGCAGGGATGCCCTGGCCCCACTGCGGCAACAGGGCCCGCTGCGGCGGCGCCCCAGCCGCCCTGCCCCGCCTGCCGCTGTGCCAGTCGTGGCGGCAGCCTCTGCGGCAGCCATCCCGGCCACCCCGCCCGTGCCGTCCTGGCCGGTGAGCAGCGCGGAAAGATGCAGGGGCCGCGCTCTGTCCTGCCCATGCAAGCTGCATGATCCGCGGGGGGGCAATCTCCTCCCACATCGCTCAGCGGACAGGGCTGTCTCACCACTGGCCTTGCATGGGCCCTGCCACACTGCAACCCGCTCAACTGCCACCATGGCAGTTGCTTCAACACATCTGACGACCAGCACCAGTCCAACTCCCGCCCGCCCGTTTGCCCTGACACACATCACTCCCACCACCCCGCCCCCTCTGGTGCAGGGCGCCAAGCCGGTGCCGTTCCTGGCCGCGGTAGGGCTGGGCCTGGCGCTGCGCTTCCTGGTGCCCATCCCGGCAGGAATCACGGTACAGGCCTGGACCCTGCTGTCCATCTTTGTCAGTACCATAGCAGGTGGGTAGGGCTGCCGGCTGGCCGAGCTGGTCTGGCCACGGTTTGGCCTGGTCGGTGATGGGCGCCTGCTCCACGCCAGCCGCACATCGCCACCTCTACCGCACGCACGCGTGCCCACACACACACACACACACGCAGGCCTGGTTCTGGAGCCGCTGCCCGTGGGCGCCTGGGCCTTCCTGTCCGTCTCCACCGCCATCGCCACCAAGACCCTCACCTTCCCCGCCGCCTTCTGCGCGTTCACAAATGATGTCATCTGGCTCATCGTGGTCTCCTTCTTCTTCGCCAGGGTGGGCCTGGGAGGGGGCTGTGCACGTGTGTGTGTGTGGGTGGGTGGGGGAGGGGGGGGCAGCGGTAAGCATGTGTGTGTGTTGGCGGCGGCGGTGGTATTGGGGTGCGTGAGCGAAGGATGCGTGGTGGGTGTGGGGCATTGGTTGCATCGGCGCCCACCCGCTCCTCCCCTCCTGCCCAGCCGCCTGCTCCACGCCCGGCCCTGCCTGCTGCCCTGCAGGGCTTTGAGAAGACGGGCCTGGGACAGCGGGTGGCCACCCTGTTTGTGAAGCTGTTTGGCAAGAGCACGCTGGGGCTGGCGTACGGGTGGGTGGGCGGGCGGTGGGTATTCTGGTGCTTGCGCCCGGGTCGCTGGCAAGTCCCTGCCAGCCCCGCAGCGCGCTGCACACGCAGCGTGTCGGGCCGGCTGCGGTGCCGCGAGGCAATGCTGGGTCCCCTCGCCCGCCGCCGGCGCCCGCCACGCCGCGCATCTGTGCACGCCGGGCACGATTGGCCCTCCTGCTGCCCACCCCCCGCAGGCTGTCCGTGGCCGAGGCACTGATTGCTCCCGCCATGCCCTCCACCACCGCCCGCGCCGGCGGCATCTTCATGCCCATCATCAACTCCCTCTCCCTCAGCGCCGGCAGCAAGCCAAGTGAGTGGCGTGCGGCGCAGGGCTGGGAAGGGCGGGGCGGCCAACTGAGTACGCACCCCGCATGTGTGCCGTGCATCCCGCCCGTGGGGCTGGGCAGCTCCCAGCCCACTCCCATCTCTGGCTGTGCCCCACCTCCCTCCCGGCCTCCCTCCCGGGGCGCCTTGACTGGGGAAGCTGTGCCTGGGGAGGTCCCTCCCCAAGCAACACCTGTACCTGTACACCTTCCCTTTAGCTTCACCTTACCTTTACCCTCCCTGCCTCCGTTTTCTTTCCTCCCCTGCAGACGACCCGTCCCGCAAGAAGCTGGGCGCCTTCCTGGTGCAGTCGCAGCTGCAGGGCTCCGTCAACTCCTCCGCCATGTTCCTCACCGCCGCCGCGCAGAACCTGCTGTGCATGAAGCTGGCCGCGGAGATGGGGGTGGCGGTGCCCAACGCGTGGGTCACCTGGGTCAAGGCGAGTGGCTCGCCGGCGGGGCGCCCGCTGGCCTGCTGTTGCCGCGACAGCCGGGCTGGGATGGACCTGGGCTCAGCTGCCCGCGCGGCACCGTGGCCTGCTGGGCCCTGCCAGGATTACTTGTGAGGAAGCCTGGGGGCTGAGGGCTTGGCACTTACCCCTCCGCCTGCCCGCCTGCGCTCACACCTTCCCCTGCCTGTGCTTGCTTCCTCGTCCTTTCTTCAGGCCTCCATCGTGCCCGCGCTGTGCGGCCTGCTGCTCACCCCGCTGCTCATGTACAAGCTCTTCCCCCCCGAGATCAAGGACACGCCAGAGGCGCCTAAGGTGCGTGGCGCCGCCGGAACCGCCGCCGTACCGCTGCTGGCACCGCCGTGCTGCTGGGCTGGATGCACCGCTCGCCGCCGCTCCTGATCACCTGTCTCTCCTTCTCTCTCTCACACACACACGCACACGCACGCACAGACACCACCACCACCATTCGACCACCGCCGGTCCTGCTAACAGCACACACACACACACGGCAACACCCTCCTCCCCCCGCCTTCTCCCCCTGCCCCCGCCCCGCAGCTTGCCGACGAGCGGCTGGTGGCGATGGGCCCCATGTCTCGGGACGAGCGCATCATGCTGGGGACCATGGCGGCAGCGGTGTGCCTGTGGGTGGCCGGCGACATGCTGGGCATCTCCGCCGTCACCACCGCCATGCTGGGCCTGTGCGTGCTGCTGGGCAGCGGCGTGCTGCAGTGGCGCGAGTGCCTGGCCTACCCCGCGGCCTGGGACACGCTCTTCTGGTTTGCCGGTGAGGTGGCTGGGTGGCTGGATAGGGTGGATGGATGCGGGGCTGGGCTTGGCTGCGGGCCTGCAGGGGCGGGACCTGCGGGACAGTACTGGCAGCAGAGGCACGGCAGGGGCATGGCGAGCGGACGGCCCATGCCACCTCCAACCGGGCATGGGTAGGGCGGCGCCAGGCGGGGGTGCCCGTTGCGGGTATACCGACCCTCTCTAACTTTGTGCCCCCTGCAGTGCTGGTGGGCATGTCTGGGCAGCTCAACAACCTGGGAGTGATCACCCACTTTGCCAGCCGTGAGTTTGTCGGCCCGCTGCCTGCGTGTTGCTGCCAGCCAGCCTGCTCAGCTGCTCCCCAATACCTTGCCGCCAGCCTGTCTGCCAGCTTTTGGCCATCCAGCGCGGGTGGTCGGAGCTGCAGCTTGCCGCCACAGTGGCCGCCACTCTGCCCCCAACCTGTGCCGACAGCGTGCCGCCCGCCTGCCGAGCTCGTGTTGTGTGTGTGACGTCACGTGTTATCGTCCTGCCCACTCCCCGCTCCTTTCCACCCGCTCCTTTCCGCCCGCAGAGGTGGGCAACCAGCTGGTGGCCGCCAACCTGGGCTGGCCCGCCGTGTTTGGCCTGCTCAACGTGGCCTACTACGCGCTCCACTACATGTTTGCGTCCCAGGTGGGCCCCTGGCCCTTTTGCCTGGGCTTGTTTTTGTAGTAGTTGAGTTTGAGATGCGGGGACACATCAGTGTGTTGGCGGCCGCTCCTCGCCAGCACCTCGCACCGCACAGCCTCCCCTGCCGCGCCTGCCCCCCAACGCCGCCGCGCCTGCCCCGCCGCGCCCCATGCCTGCGCCGCCGCCCCCGCAGACGGCGCACGTGGGCGCCCTGTACTCGGCCTTTTTGGCGATGATGCTGGCCACAGGCGTGCCGCCCGTCATCGCCGCCCTGTCCCTGGGCTTCATGAGCAACCTCTTTGGCTCCATCACACACTTCGGCTCCGGCCAGGCGGCAGTCTACTACGGCGCAGGTGGGCGGGCAGGGCGGGCAGGGCGGGAGGGTGCCAGGGGCGCTGGGGCTGGGCCGGCTGGCAGGCTGGGGTGGAGGTGTGCTGCGGCTGGGAGCGGCCAGCATGGTGGGGAACGTGGGGAAGCGGGGCCGCATCTGTGGCGGGGCATGCCTGCATACCGACACTCCACGCTGCCTGTCGGCACACACCCACACCCGCTGCAGGCTACCTGACTCTGAAGGAGGTGTTCAGCTACGGCGCCCTGATGAGCGTGGTTAACCTCACTCTGTGGGGCGTGGTGGGCGGCGCGTGGTGGAAAGTGCTGGGCCTCTTCTGATGCGGCCCCACAGGCCGGCTTGGTAGCCCTCCACTCGCCCGCACACAGCAGGCGGTGGCGGGTGATGCCTCCCGACCGCGTGCGGCGGCCTCCCGCTGCCAACCAACCAACACTGCAATGCCTCTGCTTCCTTGTCCCTGCCCCCTGCCTCTGTCCTGCTCTTCGTTGCTGCCTGAGCTGCATTGGCCCGGCTAGCTCGCCACGTGCTCTGTGACCGTCACACATCCAGAGGCCTGGCTGATGGGAGGGCGCAGCGCGACGGAGCTGGATGCACCGCTTGGCCCCAGGTGTGCCATGGACGTCCCTGGTGGGCAAGCCCACGCCTCCCTGGGAGCGGTGGCAGCAAGGGCTGGAGCAGCTTGCACGCATGGATGAGCAGCAGGAGGCCATGAGCAGGCAGGTGCAGCTGCTTGAAGCTCAGCTGCAGCCGCTGCAGCAGCGGACCCTCCAGCTGTGGCGGCGGGAGGAGCGTCTGGAGCGTATGCGCCGCCAGATCGAGCGCCAGCTGCGGGCAGCCGGCGCCGCCAACAACGCGAGTTCCGGCACTGAGGAGGCAGGCAGCGAAGATGACGAGGAGGAGGATCCTGACTATTGCGACTGGATGCGCTGCAAGTGGATGCTCGACGGCAGCCTCACGCTGGCAGACTGCTGCGACCGCCTCCGGTGGGCACCCCATTGGGGGGTGCGGGGGCTGCCAAGGGCGCAGAGGCTGGGTGCCAGCATCGGCAGATGCATGCCCGCATGTCCCTGCGACCGCCTGCATCTGCCAGGGGCCTGGGGCCAGGTGCATCCACGGGTACCACAGTCGGGCGCCTGGGTGACCGCCTGGCGCACCATGCTTTACGCAGGGAGGAGATTGCGTGGTTGGAAGGGCTGGAGCGTGCTGGGTGGACCCTGCCTGAAGGCATGGGCAATGCCTACGGCATGCTGGCACGCGAGCGGCCGCCGGTTGTGCCGCCCAGCCCCGATGCCGTGCCGCAGCTGCAGCGGCGCCTGCGGCGCGTCGAGCGGGTGCTGCAGCGGGTGTGCGCGCAGCGCGCGGCACTGGATGCGCGGCGGGCCCCTCTGCAGCAGCTGGCGAGGTGGGTTGGGAGCGAGTCCACCCACCTGGCATACGAGCGCTGGTGCCTGGAGCAACGGATGTCCGCTGGCATCCCCGCGGCGGCGGTGGAGGAGGAGGATGCCGACGGCCTGCCTGACCCAGACGTCGAGAGACCCTTCTATGCAAAGGGCATGCTCGACGGCTGCAGCACGCTGGAGGAGTGCCGGGATCACCTGAGGTGTGCACTGATGGCCTGGTGCTGTGCTGTCGGTGCCTGGCAGGCACAGCCTGGCGGGGTCGGCGGCTGAGCTGGAGGAGCACAAGCGTCCGTGAGGCTGGTTCTGCGTGCCGCGCAAGGCGCCATGCCTGTGCCTGCTGCCTGGCCTGTAGGCAGCAGATTGCTGAGATCGAGCAGCTGGCGGCGGACGGGTGGGAGCTGATTGCCAAGGTGATAGACGGCATGGGGGAGCTGCGGCGGGAGCGGCCTGCGCCGTTCCCGCCCACTAACGGCGCCAGCTGAGAGGCCGGCAGCCGTGGTGGCCGATGCGCGGCCTCCCGTCAGGCGTCAGGCGAGCCGCCGCGCCGCCGCCAAACACAGGCCACACCCCTCTGCCCTGGCACCGCACGGCGCTGCTTGGGTTCTGGCAGAGCATGTGCGGGTTTGTTACAAGGCGTCACCACAATGAATCAGGACTCAAGGCTCTGCTGGTGCACTCGCACCGCAGCACCGCGCTACGCGGCGCCACGGGGCGGGGCATCGGGCGCCAGCAGCACGCTGACGTTCCACAGCATGCCCGCCAGCGCCCAGGCGGACAGCAGGTAGGGCTGGGGGCCCCAGCCGCCCTGGGGGCGCAGCCGCTCCACGCCGGCGTACAGCGCCGCCTGCCAGCCGCGCTCTGGGGGCAGGCCCACCGCCGCCCGCTCCTTCTGGTGCGCCTCAAACAGGGCGGCCTCGCTGAAGGCGTGCCAGGTGGCAGGGATGGCAAAGCCCAGGCTGAGCTGGAGGTAGAGCAGCAGGTGGCCGCACTGGGCGTGGCCGCGCGGCGTGGCGGCGTGCGCCGCGGGCGGCGCCAGCACGCCGCGCAGCCACTCCAGCGCCCCGAGCAGCCCGCCGGTCAGCTCCTGGGCCGCCGGGTGCGCCAGCGCCGCGCCGCTGCACACGTGCTGGTTGTGGGGCGCCATGAGAAGGATGGCGGCCAGGTGGGCGGGGGCGGCCAGCCTGCGGCGCGGGGGGTGGCAGGGGGGTGGCGGCATCGGCGTCGCTGCGCCCGGGTCGACCCTTGCAGGCCACAGCTCGTACCCCTGGTGCCCAGCATAGCATGGGCCTGCCTGCCTGCCTGCCTGCCATACCCAATGGGGCAGGGCATGCATCACCCCCCACCCGCGGCTGGCAAGGCGCGGCAGGGCTCACAGGAGCCTGACGGGGCGTGCCACCCACAGGCTGACCAGGTGCGGCACAAAGCTGATGAGCAGGAGCAGCGCGGTGTGCTGGGCCGCCGCCAGCGCCGCCCCGGCCGCCGCCAGGCCGCCCGCGGCGGCGGCGGCGTGGGAGATGGCGGCTGCGGGCGGGGTGATGGTGTCTAGCCAGGCCTTGCACACCCGGCCGCCCTGCCCGCCGCCAAACGCGTTTGTGATGAAGAGCAGCGCCACCAGCGGCTCCCGGTAGCGGGCATAGGAGCCGCCGCCGGGGGCGCCGCGGCACGCGCGCCGCCACGCCGCGTTGGCCACGCAGCTGAGCAGCGTGACGGCCAGCCAGCGGTGGAAGGAGGCGGGCAGCAGGGGGCCCACGCGGTACAACAGCGTGCCGCCAATCGCCTGCAGGGCGGGACGGCGCGGGGCAGGGCAGCGCGGGAAGGGTGAACGTGTGCGCTGGTGGGCACACTTGGCCATGTGGTCTGCTGCCAGAGTGAGCTGCCAGCCTGTTCTGCCCATCCCAAAATACGCTGGCCCGCGGCGGGGCCGCCGCCGCTGCCGCGCATGCCGCCGCCGCCTGTCATTGCGCGGGCCCCGCTGCCAGGCGCGCACCAGCGATAGCAGGTCCATCCGCCCACATATTGAGGCACGCATCAGGTTCAGCCGCGTAGCGAACGGCATTGAGGGGTGACCCATCAGGTGTTGGGCAGGGGCTGGGGAACCACTCAAGGAGCTCATTCTGGTCCGCTATGCAAAGGCAGGTTGCAGGATGCTTTGCAGGAGGCTGGGCGTGTGTGTACTAAACACCGCCAAGGGGCACACCCGGCCTCTTAGCAGGCTGCTGCACTCCTTTGATGCACAGGTGGGAGCATACCCGCTGCGGGGACGCTTCCCATTCGTCACAGAAGCCCCAGGAGGCGGGGGCAGGGGGAGGGCGGCGGCAGCGGGCACTTGAGTCCCTCCCGCCGCCTGAACCTTGCGGCAGCACGTTGCTGTTCAGCCCTATTCCATCATGTGTGCATGTTTGTTACACACAGAACCAGAACCACAGCATGCATATACACGCGGCAGGTCATCAAAATCTGTACACACTCCACACAGAGCCTATCACGGCGCCGCCTGGAGCCGCCCCGTCACCTGCGCCCCGCCCCCGCAGCGGCGGCAGCCGACGCCGACAACACGCCGCTGCTGCTGCGGCTGCTGGCGCTCAGCGGCGTCAGGGGCAGCGGCAGGGGCAGCGGCGACGGCGTGGCTGGCTGCACCCCCAAGCTGTGCGGCGGCGAGTCGAGCAGCTCTGCTGGCAGGTGCGGCAGGTCGCCACCCTCTGCAGCACCCCCCTCCTCCTCCACCGCCTCCTTGTGCGCTGTGTCCAGCGGGCGCGGCATCGCTGCTGCTGCTGCTGCTGCTGCTGCTGCTGCTCCTCGTGCTGCCGCCGCGTCTGCATGCGGCGCCGCTGCCTCCCCAGCCTGGCTGCTGGACTGCTGCGCCGCCGGTGGGCGCCACTCTGGAGCCGACACTTGCAACGTGGTGCGCCCGGCGGCCTTACCCGAGTTTGCCGCTAGCGCTGGCGCTGGCGCTGCCACTGCCGCTGCCGCTGCCGCTACCGCCGCCGCTGCCGCCGCCGCCGTCCCTGCTCCGTCTGGTGGCTGCGGCTGCCTGCGTGCTTCGGGAGGCGGTGCCGCCTTACAGAACTGGACCACCAGCTTGTCGGGACCAGACAGCTCCGGCGCGGAGCGACCGTTCAGCGCCGCCACCGCCGCCTCGGCCGCCTCGGCCTCCTCAAACTCCACAAAGCCGTAGGTCCTGTCGCCCTTCACGCACACCTTGACTGCAGGCGGGCGGGGCGGCGCAAGGCTGCCAGAAGGTTGGGGCGGGGTGCGGCTTGCCGGCAGGCGGGCAGGCAGGAGAGGAGATGATGTGTGGCGGTCCTCCAGGCAGCTGCCTGGTCACACGATGATGATGATGCGCCGCACCCCCTCACACACCGCACGTCCCCGCACACCTGACTCTACCACCCCGTACTCGCTCGCAGCATCCGACAGCTGGCGCCTAGTGACGCCCGGTGCCAGCTTCCCAAAGTAGAGGCGCCGCGTGGGGAGCGGCTCTGGCGGCCCCTGGCTTGGCGACAGCTCTGCCAGCCCTGCAAACGAGGCCGAGGCAGGAGGAGGCTGGGCAGGGGCACCCTGGAGCCAGCAGCAGCAGGT